AGCAAGCAACAAGCTTAACTGATATAGCTCATTTCCTAACAACAAAAGACTCATTTTTAAGTGATTAAATTCTGCCCATTGGTGCCAAGGAAAGCTTCGCATAAACAATTAAGCCAGGACAAAAAAAAAAGGCAGTCTGGGCTGAGGGACAGGTGGGTAATTTATAACATCTATGCCTCTGTGTCACATGCTAACCAATTTGTGGTGGCTTAACATGAAAGTGTACAGATTTTATTCACTTTGTTTTCCTATCTCTCTCTGCTTTTGTTTTTATAATGAACATTTTGTAAAATAACCCCACTATGTAGAGACTACTACATAAACAAACATAGAAGTGTGACTGACTTGTTGAACTCAGCCTACATCCTTTCTCTGCTGCTCATTTTGATTTTTCTCCTTCTCGGCTTTATCTCAGTCCTGCCAAGAATGCAAGAGCACCTTTTTGGATGCCATTTCCTAAATGGCAACAAAGACAGCATGCTTTTGGAGTAAAGACAAGGATCTCAGCTGGCTCTCCTCAAGTACTGAATAATCACCGAGGAAAAACATAGCAAAAGAACTTTCGATAAGAAGGTTAAGAGTCATTTACTTGATCTAATGTTTCTATCCTTCCTCCAATGTCAGTTGCCATCCAATAATGCGGAAAACTTCCTCTGATAGCGTCATAATTCACTTCCTTCTGGGGCAGTCGACTCTATCTTCACATTAATTAGACAGGTTACTCTGTATAATGCAAAGACTGTTCTATTGAGAACTAGTAGGTAGGTATCTAATCTTACCTTGTTCTGGAAACCAGTAGTATAACTGACTTTTGAACAACTCAGGGGTTAGGGGCACTGACTCCTGAACAATCCAAAATCCCCATGTAACTTCTGACTCCCCCAAAACTTAACTACTAATGGCCTACTATTTATTGGAAGCCTTACTGACAACATAAACAGTTGATTAACACTTATTTTTCACATTGTATTATATACTGTATTCTTACAACAAAGTAAACTAGAGAAAAGGTAATGTTATTAAGAATATCACGTGGAAGGGAAAATACATTTATAGTGCTGTATTTATCAAACACACACACACACACACACACACACACACACACACACACACACACACATAAGTGGACCTACACAGCTTAAACTAGTGTGGTTCAAAGGTCAAGTAGTGACTAACTCCTGGTTCTGAAGTCTAGAGTCTAGGGAATGTGGGATTAATCCAAGTTTTAAAATTTCCCAGTTGTGAGACTGTGGGTAAGTTGCCTATCTTTTCAAAGCCTCAGTTCCCTTTTCTCTAAAAGAGAGATAATGTAAGTATCTAACCAGAGAGCTGTTGAGAAGCATGCAGTAACTCTCATAAATATCACCTATTATGAGGACTATTGTTAGTGGCTTTATCAACCTAGTACAAATTGCTTAGCTGAGCTCCCCCACCTATAAGATGAGGGAGTAGGTGAAGTATATTCTTAAGTCTTCTGGATCCATTTTATCAGTTAATAAACTTAAATCTGTAAGCTTCTAGTCTTTCCAATCTATCCTTATTGGAGCTCATGGATGAACTTCATGGAAGTCCCAGAATCCTTTGGAAATGAGTGCACCTGCACTTGAGCACCTACTTAAGGAGAAGAGACACAGCTCTCATCAGATTCTTAAGAATCCAGAACTCAAAAATATTTAACACCACTGCCTTTGGGACTATACAAATCAAACGCATTCTATCTTTCACAGGACAGAGTTGAATTTATATAAAGACCTAAATTCTTCCCAGGTTAGATATCTCAAGTTCCTTCTACCATTTTTCCTATTATATGGTTTTTCTTCTGAATGATCATATGTAGTTGATATCCTTCTTGAAACACAGTTCCAAAAGTAAGTACAGAGGGAAAACATCCTTGCTACAAAGAGGCACTACTTCTATTAATATTGTTAAAATACCGGTAAACATGGACAGTTAGGAGGACCTGCACATTCTTACTGACCTTAGTCTTTTTTATTTAAGTATGTGGTTAAACTCACATACCTCTCGCAACTCTTTATACAGCCGTCCTTTTGAACATATATGCAGTTTACATTTACACTTGATAAAATTTCATTGTGTAAGATTTAGTCCAACTCTCCAATCTGTCTAAAATTAATCCTAGCTATGAATGAGACAATAATTAACCTCAATAATAGATAACATAAATAAAATGCATATGGCTATGTATGCATTTTATGAATGCTAGGTAAACAAAAACATATAACCACATGTTTTAACAATGTTACTTTTAGGAGCCCCTGGGTGACTCAGTCTGTTAATTTTGGCTCAGGTCATGATCTCATGGTTCATGGGTTTGAGCCCCATGTCAGGCTCTGAACTGCCAGCATGCGGTCTGCTAGGGATTCTCTCTCTCTCCTTCTCTCTGCCCCTCTCCTACTTGCTGGTTCTCTCTCTCTCTCTCTAAATAAACAAACAAACATTAAGAAAAAAACCCCAAACAATGTTACTTTTATAAAACTAACAACTTAGAGTGATCTCAAAATTTAAAAACAGCTTATTATATTTTTATGCTATTATTAAAAATAGGTCCCCTTAGGTTGAGGTCAAATTTTAGACCATAACACACACACAAAATTAGTTTAAAGAATCCTAACCATAATTTCTCTTAAATACAGATTACATGACTTCCCTGTGCTAACAGTAGAGTCAGACCAAAGCAGCATAAGAAAGTAAACAACATATTAAGCAGCAGCTCTTTCTCTTTTGATCACTGCTGATACACTGACCAATTGACTCACTTTTCTAGGTCTTCATGATCCCTCTATAAACAGGAAATAAATTTGTCAAAAATAAGGGATTATAAAAAATAATTTTTAAGGCTCACCCTTTTCAAGAGCTCTGATGAACGGCAAAGACCTTTAAAAAAATAATTTATCCTGTAATCCTAATAATCGTTTTGACTCCCCCCAGTGATGGCAACACAGACCAATGAGGTTTACTAATGGCGAATTCCTAGGTCTTCCTATGTTGACATTGATAAATAACTGCTAGCTGATCATTTCAAGTCCATACTCACCATCCATAATAGACATATTTCTAGATGTTGACACAGCAGCCTTTGAACTTCTGCTTCGAGTAGAAGTATCCAGACTACTGCTTCCTGTTAGAATAGTGAGCAGTCAGTATATAATACCGTCAATAGCCAAGGTTTTTTTAAAATAATGCCAAAATGAAATGTAAATAGTTATGTCAAAACATAGTTTATGTATAAAAAGTCAAAGACATATATAGCAAGAAACACCTAGGCTAATCAATTTTCAAAGACTATATACTTCTATCACATTTGGTTTATACTGTTCCAATCAAAATTTAAGGAAATACTTTGTAAATTTAAGGATAATGAAAATAAATTATCATTAGAGGATGAGGATTTCTCACCCTGGAAATTTTTAACTAAAATACTATTTTACCAGATAAATATTTAATAAAAACAATTCAAAAATATTCCTAGAAATGATTTATATAATGCACCAGGAAGCCACTGGATGGCCAATTTTCCATTATTTGGATTATTTAAGGGAAACAGTGACACATTACTACACTGATGGCAATTAATGTCAATGACTGCTTTAAGACATCAAGTTGTTTTGGGCGCCTGGGTGGCTCAGTTGTTTAAGTGTCTGACTTTGGCTCAGGTCATGATCTCACAGTTTGTGAGTTCAAGCGCCACGTTGGGCTCTGTGCTGACAGCCTGGAACCTGCTCCAGATTCTGTGTCTCCTTCTCTCTCTTCCTGTCCCCGGTTTACGCTCTGTCTCTCTCTCTCAAAAATAAACATTAAAAAAAATTTTTTTTTAATTAAAAAAAAAACCTCAAATTGTTTTAGGGTAGTTTTCTTTCTGTACACATTTTATGTGTGTACTTTATAAAAGTTTAGCTACTTTATAAAAGAAGCTATTTTATAAAAATGCAGGCATTTGTATCTTATGATAGTAACAGAAATAATAATTTTTATGACCTGGAGTTTGTTTCTGCTGCCAATGGTCATTAGGTAGCCATTTTCCTTAGCAGCTCGTATTTGCCCATTACCTGATACATGCGAGAGTAAATAGGACATTAAATGTATCCAAAAGGTACTGTGTGAGAAACATAGTGAAGTTCTTAAAAAAAAAAGTGAAGAGAAATTAAAACCTTATGTGCACATGGCCATTAATATTTATGTAAAACACACATATCAGAACTACATAAAAGATGGACTTTATGCATTACAAAAGCAAAGTTTTAAAGGACTGCATCACTTAAATTCTGATGATAGGAATGCAATCTTGTGTTTCCCATCTAATTGCCAAGTCTGAACGTGTGTGAAAGACAGTACTCGGGGCTAACCTCTTCCTCTCTGAGACCCTCCTCTCGAGGCTGAACTCTGCCCTCTTCCCCGTCGGCCTCTTCCTCGGCCTCTTCCTCTGTTGGCTGCTGCTGTGATGTCATCATCAGAGTCATCAGCCATCTGTTCTGCCAGATCTATACTCATAAGGTCCTCAGCACTAAAGGCGGAAGCAGAGTCCTCGGACTGCGATCTGAGGGCTCTGGCCCTAGTCATAGCCTGAGAGGGAGAGAAGGGAAAGTACACATTAACAGACAATGCAGCATCCTAAGTCATGAGTTTGGTCATTGAGATAACATTTAATATTGTCAAACTGCCTACACCATTCTGTTTCACTAATCATGCTATAAAAATGTCAAGCAGGAGAAGAATAAAAAGCTTAAGACCAAGAAGATGCAAATTTTAACTTGGGAAGAAACTGTCTAAAAAGACAGGTGTGAGGTTTAGTGAAATATTTTAACTCTGAAATGAACAGATTTTCTGATTAAAAATAGGGTAAAATAAAAGCAATGCTGTCCTGAGCTCTTCCCTTAACCCAATCGAAAGGTAACAAGGAGAACAGAAACAAGACACAATACACTTTCAATGAAATAAGAAATAGCTCCAACTTCAAAACACAAACTCTCTGAAGAAGAGTTAACAGATATAACAAAGATCTGACCTGTTTGAGGAACAAGGCTGAGAAGAGTGTCAGGGAACATAGAGCTCTCTAAAATGGATCTATACGTCTCAAGGGACCATGACTGTAGTCTCTGTTGCTTGGAATAGAAAATTCTCAGTCTAAGAACAGGTGGCTAGAACATTTCTAAGTGCTCTATGATACCATAAAGTAAGCGGAGAGGGGGCTAAATGAGGAGATGAGAACAAAGCAGGTAGGGCAGAAGCAGGAGTAAAGTGGGCTGTGGGAGATCATCCACCTTCAGGATGATGGTGGATGATCTTAGCTTAAGGGAGATAACAGCTAATTCACTACATGAAGGACTCGACACTGAATACTATGTAAAAAACAAAATAAAACAAAAAAAACCTTCAGGGAACACAACAAAAGATATAAAGAAAAAATAATAGAAAAAGATTCCAACTCATTTTTCTTGTCATAGATGAAGTATGGCGAATCCTCCTTATTCCCGGATTCTGTATTTGCAACCCCCAGAACGATCCTCCTGACACTTCTGCAGTCATCTGTGGACCTGCGCAGAGTGGCAAAAATGCTGAGTCTCCTGACGCACACGTTCCCCAATGAAGATGAACAACGGGACACCCTGCCTGCTTGTTTCTGCTCTCACACTTTAAACGGGTGTCCTTTTGGTGGCATATTTAGTGCCATGTTTTCCCACACTTTTGTGCTTTTGGTTGGTGATTCGGTGTACTGCTCAAGTGCTGTCTAGTGCTCCCAAGTGCAAGCAGGCTGCGGCGTGCCTTACAGATGACATACATGTCGTTAGATAAGCTGCATTCAGGTATGAGTTACGGGGCCACTGGTTCTAAGTTCAATGTTAGTGAATTACAATATATACGTTAATTAAGATGTCTTTAAACAGAAACACACATAAAAAGGTTATGTACTGATTAGCTGACAAAAGTGGAACCGGTAGTTGGCAGGAACCTAATCCTGTATTTTCTCCTAGCAGCAATATGGTTCAGTATTTGCTAATTTAGTATTTGTGGTGACATAGAACATAGAACTTGTACTTTTTTTTAAAGGAAAAAGGAGATCTAAATTACATAATTAATAAGACAGATCTAATTGATACATGTTGAACTCTATACTCTGAAAATAAGTAATATACTTCTTTGCAAGACCTCCTGAAATGTTTAGCTAATATATCATAGGGTGTTAAGAAAAATATCAGTAAGTTCTAAATAATTAACAGTATTATTATATTGCCTAATCACCATGAATACAATTAGGAATTACTTACAAAAAAACAAAAACACTTGCCTCAAAACCTCAAAACTAAAATTGTAGAAATCTAGAAAATAATAAAAATACTACATACAAAACATACGAAACAAATAAAGCTGTGTTTGCAAAGAAAGCCTACAACCTATTAAAAAAGAATAAATGCAAATAAGGACATCTGGCATTCAAAAAGTTTAGACAAATAAAACCCATCCACAGGAAACTATTAGAAATCAATAATGAGGGGCGGCCTGGATGGCTCAGTTGGTTGAGTGCCCCATTTCAGCTCAGGTCATGATCTCAGGGCTAGTGACTTCAAGCCCCATGACGGGCTCTGTCCTGACAGCTCAGAGCCTGCTCTGGATTCTGTGTCTCCCTCTCTCTCTCCCCTACCCCTCCACTTGTGCTCTGTCTCTTTCTGTCCCTCTCTCTCAAAATAAATGATCGTTAAAAAAATTTGCAGGGGGAAGGCGCCTGCGTGGCTCAGCCAGTTGGCTGTCTGTCTGACTTCGGCTCAGGTCAGGTTCTCACAGTTTTTGGTTTGAGCCCTAAGTTTGTGGTTTGTGGTTTGAGCTGTCTGTGCTGACCGCTCAGAGCCTGGAGCCTGCTTCTTATTCTGTGTCTCCCTCTCTCTAGCCCTCCCCTGCTCACGCTCTGTCTCACTCTCTCAAAAATAAATAAATATTAAAAAATTAAAAAAAAATATTTTAATTTGTATAAAAAAATCGATGGTACAATCATAAACACATTTTAAGCAAAAATCATTCAAATTAGCAAATTTAAAAACTGGTCCTCTGGGGCAAAACCATATTGATAAAGATCACTAATTTAACAAAAAGGAAGAAAAGACAAATATACACCATTAGAAATGAAAGTGGAGGGAAAAAAGATCGACAGAAAATTCAAGAATCCTGACAAATACTCTTCAATCCTAAGTAATTGGAAAAATAAATGACCTAAATGGATCCAAGAACAGGTACACAGTCTCAACAGACTAACATCAAAGAAAAATCTGAGAAAACTATTAAAGGAACACCTCTGAAAAGGACCACAGCCAGAAAGTTTCACAGGTAAAGTCTATCAAATCTTCAAAGAACAGACCGTTCCACTGCTATTCCCATAGTACCAGAGCATAAAGAAAGCTTCCAATTTATTTTTGTAAAGCAGCATAACATTGGTACTGAAGAAGTGACAAAGGACTGCATGCACAAAAGAAAATTACAGGATCTGACTTATGAATATTAAAGTGAACAAAGAGAATCCAGGAACATATGGAAAAACCGTATCAGGTATACCCATTATCAGGGGGCTCATAAAGTGATAACAAGGATGGGGCAATAATAGGATATGTTTTAATATAATTTATCAAATCAATAAATAGAACAAAGGAGGAAAAGTCCCACATGTTTATCTATACATGGGTCAAAAAGGCACTTAATTCATCACCCATTCTGGATTTGAACAAACCCCAAAACCCTTCTTTTGCATGACAAATACCCTAAATATGCTATCCCCTCACCACACAAAGAGTGTGTGCACACTTTCATGTGAGAGAGACCAACGCCCTTGGCACAAAAACAAAACAAAAATTTTGGGGCCAAGAACATGACCAGGTGTCTCATATAAATAATTTATAAACACAAAACCACTCAAAGTCACTGGTAACAAAGGCAGTACGGATTAAAAACAACAGCAAGAGACAATTTCTCACCCTTCAGATTTGTAAAGATCAAAAGGTGTAGTGGGGCACCTGGGTGCTCAGTAGGTTAAATGACGGACTTCGGCTCAGGTCATGATCTCACGGTTCATGAGTTCGAGCCCCGTGTGGGGCCCTGTGCTGACAGCTCAGAGTCTGGAACCTGCTTCAGATTCTGTGTCTCCCTCGCTCTCTGCCCCTCCCCTGCTCACACACTCTCTCTCTCTCAAAAATATTTTTAAAAAATTGAAAAAAAAAACAAACCCAAAAGATGTAGTAATACATCATGATGACAAAGATGTGGGGAAATAAACACTCCCAAATACTGGTCAGAATGTAAACTGGGGTGACATCTCTGAAGTGATGGAGAGGTAGCCAGCAAAAATCTAAAATGCATATGCTCTTTTATGATTATTCCTTGGAACAAATCACCCACCATCCATTTCCAAATTTTGTACTTTGCCTTTGTCTAAATACTAGACCTTCATTTTATCATCTCAAACATTACATTAAAATAGTTTAACTCTACTTTTCTGTGCAACAGACTTTGGAATTTACAAATATATTTGAAGTACATTACTTCTAAGAATTAGTTGGGGAATTCTAATTTACCTCAGGAGTGTAGGCCCAGAACCATTGTTAAGTGCAGATCCACTAGTAGGACAATGTTTTCAGGTGCTTTTTTGATGAGTTTCGAAAACATCCTATCCTGGTATTACACCTTTTAAAAAAAAAATTGTGGCAAAATATACAAAAGTAACTCCCCATTCCCTACCCCATCCCCTAGTTATCACTATTCTACTTTTTGTCTGTATGAATTTGACTACTCTAGGTATCTCACGTAAGTGGAATTATACAAGCAATCATCCTTTTACGTCTTACTTCACTCAAGATATTTTTGAGTTTCGTCCATGTTGTAGTATCAGAACTTCACTCCTTTTTTAAAAAATTTTATTTTTATTTACTCTGAGAGAGAGCGAGAGAGAGAGACAGAGAGACAGAGAGAATTCCAAGTAGGCCCTGCACTGTCTGTGCAGAGACACGGGACTTGAACTCATGAACAATGAGACCATGACCTGAGCTGAAATTAAGAGTTGGACGCTTAACCAACTGACCCATCCAGGTGCCCCACAATTTCACTCCTTTTAAGGTTAAATGAATAGTCTGCTGTACACACATACCACATTTTATCTGTCCATCAACTGTTACTACCTTTTGATTATTGTGAATAATGCTATGAGCATGGGTGTACAAATACCTGAGTCCTTGCTTTCAGTTCTTGGGAGTAAATACCTAGAAATGCAACTGCTAGATCACGTTATTCTATTTTAAATTTTTTGAGGAATTATCATACTATTCTCCACAGAAGATTTTATATTCCCACCAGCAATGCACAGGGTTGCAATTTTTCCATATTCTTTGCAACACTATTTTCTAGTTCTGTTCTTTTTTTTAATGGTCATCTTAATAGATGTGAAGTGAGATCTCTTTGTGGTTTTGACTTACATTTCCCTAATGATTAGTGTTGTTGAGCAACGTTTCTTGTGCTTATTGGTCACCCGTTTATCTTCTTTGGAGAAATATCTAAGTCCTTCATCCACTTTTTAAGTTGCGTTTTGTTGTTGTGATCAAGTTTTAGGAGTTCTTTACATGTTATGGATATTAATCATTTACCAAACACATTATGTGCAGATAACTTCTCTCCTCATATGGGGCGCCTCTTCACTTTGTTGACAGTGCTTGGCACTATAGTTTAGAAGGGGATCAACTCTGCCTCCGATTCAGGTAAAGCACAGGAAACTAGAGGCTGGGAAAACTATGGACTACATGTTAGACTAAGAATAGATTTTACATTTTTAAAGGATTGTTAAAAAAAAAACAGCCACCACCTACACAGAGAAGAATATGTGGCAAAGAGCATAGATGGCCTGCAAAGCCTCAAATATCCACTGTTTGGCCTTTTATTTAACTGTGAACTTATATTTAAAGAAAATACTTGAGAGCTTTCCAATGTGCACAAGACCCTTTAAAGCCTCTTGGAAGGACTAATGCTTTTGTCTGTTTGTTTGAATAATTTAAGCTAACCCCCATGGCTGGAGGTTATAGCTTGGGAAAGTCTCAAACTCCATTACAAAATCTAAGCAGTATCCTGAAGGAAGACCATTTATAACATCCTATGGCAATGCTAACAAATACTTAGGAAACCCCGATTACCTGCTAATGTCTTAAAATATAGCCGAAAAATCAAAACTTAAAAGCGCTTTCTTCTGAAAAATTCCCAAATGCCATCTGTCATGTCCACTATTACCTTCCTTGTATAAAATATTCACTCTTATTCTTTAAAAGGTTAATGAAAAACTGAATTTAGTGGCTCCAAACACAAAGGACGTGCCCAGAAATACTTCCGTAATCTGTTAAATTGAAACGGTTAGTTAAGTTTACACGATCCAAGAATCAGGAGTCATTTCTTTCCTGTAGCATTCACTCTTGCTACTTAGCAAACTCTTTTCTACTTGAACGGAACTCCGTAGATGAATACAAGCATAAATGTAGTAAGGGATCCCTAATCTATAGCTTCCTCTTCTTAGCTCCCCAAAACCATCTTGTAAACGGTAAAGCAGTTATACCTGTGCTTTTTAGGAACAGTGATTTTCATGTGCTGCACATCAAAAACTTTCAGAAATTTTATACTTTTAGCCATTCACTTGCCATGAGTTGTATTAATGTCATGATGATACAGAGTTGTGATAGGACGTGGTATGGTGGAAAAGTCTAGACTTGAAGGTAAAATTTCACCCCACCAGGTAACCTGTACTGTGGTCTCAGTCTCATTTGTGAAATGGAAACTGAAATAGTGTGATACACCTAGAGAAAACTCAATAAATAAAAATTTCACAAATACCATTTGCCCTTTCTCCTTGAAAGCAGCAATGAATAAAACAAAGTAGGCCATGTGTTCTGTTTTTTCCTACATTCATGTAGAAGTGACTCTGACATCGGGAATGTTGAATGTGAAATTTAGTGGATGGTGGTAGTTTTTAGTTCTCTGATCAATTACTGTAGGCTATCAATGAAAGGCAGGAGGTAGGAAAAACCTGTAGTCAGTATTGGCCCTACTGCTAGTAACGTTAGTTTATGTTGTAAAATCTCCTGTATTACACGATGGAGATAGTGCTAACTTTTACAACGCGAAGAAGCCAGTGAAACTCACAAAACTAGGCATTTAGAAGATTATCTTTGCATATCTAAAGAAAGTTTACTAAGTGAGTTATTACACTTCACATTACTACATATTCTAATGAACTGGGATATAATTTGGGGGGGGGGAGCAACTCCACCCACCATAAGTTCAGGTCATCAAACTTTTATAGGAAGACAGAAAGAAAAAAACCACAATAACACCAAAAATGTTACTTTCCTACTCCTTAATATTCCACGTAAGATGCATTACTGGATCAGCTTAAAATGTAAAGTAGCCAGTATGGTATGACAGATATTGAAGTAAATCAGATGTAGACTTAGAAACTGTATTTAAAAAAGAAAAAATTCTATCTAACGGCCTTTAGAGATGGTACTGAAGAATTATCTGATAACTAATCTTTCCTATGTCAGGATCTAAAATTGCTTCACATTAAAGGCTGTTTCGTATTACCGAGTAGTCGTCACTAGATCAACCACTAAATGGACTCCTTTTCAGAGGACAAAAAAAGGAAATTCAGAGTCCCCATCTCCTTAGGCAGGGTTCTTTTCCTTTTTAGTATCCCAGGTATTGACTTTTACCTAAGGAGTGTGCTTAAAACAAGGCAAAAAATATTTAAAGGGTGGTGGTGATGGGGGCGGGGGGGTGGGGTTTCCATTAATTCCTTTTTGCTTGTACCTGAGAAAACAGTGGAGTTTGTAAAAGTTAATATGAGGGATGTGTCAAGTGCTTCCGCACCTTCCAACTCACCACCTGTCAGGGGCAGTTCTGATTAGGAAAATGACAATGGACTAGCAGGATAGTTGTATTAATTCAGTGAGGATGACAGTTCCGGTCATGATAATGTTTAACAATTTTCTTTCTACATACATCTGCTTCACCTACTAAAGTGAGTCTCTGGTGGACACGAACCACATGCTTTCCACATCTGTATTGCTAATGCCAGTAGGACGGCGAGGTTGTAACAGATACGGATGAAAGCAATCAAGACAAAATCCCAATAGTAAATCAGTTATAAGATAACCTTTAAATACTACATAGCAACCATAAAACACGAGGGACAAATGGGAAAACAGAAAAACATGTTTCAATAGGGAATTCACCAAGTACCACATAGAGGCCCAAAGTTTAAGTAAATGATCGTTAACCAGAAGTTCTAAACTGCAGATTGAGAAAGACAGCATTGATGGTGATCAAGCCCATTTCAACATTTTAGAAAGCCCAGAGGACACTGTGTATTTACCTATGGTAATACTGCTAGCAAGACCCTATGTTTCTTCCTTTTTACCCAAAATAATACCAGCTCGGTAGGGTTAGATTTCATCTTACACTGGTTAAGATGTTCTGATCACAATTATGTATTATTTTGATTAATAAGGGCTCTTGTTGCCTATGTCCCCTGCTCCCACACAATTAAATCAGTTTTAGAGGAGAGCAAAAGGGAAAAAAGGGAATGGCAGCAAGCAGAATACTGGTAGGGTGAGCTGGTGTAAATCAAAGGCAGCTATTCTCGGCCAATCCCTGCTCAGTCCTATCAATCAAACCTCGGTCCTGTGGACTGACTCCTCTATAAACAAACCTACTAGTCATTCTGACTTAAATTGACATATAAGCACAAGAATTTACAGCAGAAATTACCTCTCGAACTTCATCATCTTCTTCATTAGTGTTTTTTTGCCTGCTTTCTCTGAAACGGCGTACCTGTATTAAAACAGAGTAAATCACAAACATGTTGCTTATTCCTATCATGTAAATATAAATGTGCTACAATTAAGAAATGCTTTCTAGGGGTGCCTGGGTGGCTCAGTTAAGTGGCTGACTTCAGCTGAAAGTCATGATCTTGCAGTCTGTGAGTTCGAGCCCCATATCGGGCTCTGTGCTGACAGCTCAGAGTCTGAAGCCTGCTTCAGATTCTTTGTCTCCCTCTCTCTGCCCCTCCCCTGCTTGTTCTCTCTCTGTCAAAAATAATAAACGTTAAAAAAAAAATGTTTTCTATTACAACAAAAAACTTGGAAATATAAGTACAGTTTTGTCTCACAAAACACTGACTAAAAAATCATATTTTTCTAGTGATTTACATTAAAATTTCAGAATTGTACTATATAGGCCCTAAGCAAAACCGTATTACCTCCTGCTGAAATGTTCCAGATCACTGAAAAAGTCTATCAAACTGCAGAAGAAAAAGTCCTTTAACACCTATGGGTGCTATACTTCAGTAAAATAGTTAAAAACAAAAATCTCTTCTTTCAGAGACTTGAAATATTTATTACATGGCTCAAATCATTCTTAGGCACTTGGGTGTAAGAGATTCAGGAGGCTCTCTGAAATGGTAATGCGAAGTGGGTGGGCCTCTAAAGATCACTTTACTACTGAATGTTTACCACTGGCTGATAATGGTCCTGGAACCAAGAGGGATACTAGAGATTTTTTTTTAATTGTTGCTCAACAAGGCTCTTATAGTACAGTTACATAATTAGAGAAAAGCTCTATTTATTTAATAATTTATTTGGCATCTAGTTACTGAGCACCCATTATGTGTCCAGCACTATAGGAACTGAGAATACACCAGTGAACAAAATAGCTACAAACTCTGTCCCCCAGGAGTACAATTGTGTGTGTGCGCAAGTGTGTGTGCGTATGTGTGTGTAGCCAATAAATGAAAACAAAATAAGAAGTTCTATTGCATTTTAGAAGGTGGACTGGATTGAGTTAATTTACAACTAGACAGAAAACTCTAGGCTCTTCTCTGGGGAGCCTTTAGCTGGGGCCGTTTATTTACTGATGGTTTTCAACCTGCACAACCAGGTTTGAAGCGTGGCTTGACTATGTGACCAGAGGGGTATAAAAGATCTCCTGGGACCTTTTGCACAGATGTTGGTGTTCAATCCAGGGACCACTGTGTGGATTTGAGGACATGGGGAGCTTATATATGCTTGGGGTCTCCCAGGTCCCTAATGTCTGCCCATACTTTTTCTTGATGCACTAGATCCTTTGCCTTTAAAGAAAAACCTTAGGGGTGCCTGGGTGGCTCAGTGGGGTAAGCGTTTGACTCTTGATCTCAGCTCAGGTCATGATCTCACAGTTCGTGGGTTTGAGCCCCTTGTGGGGCTCTGCGCTGACAGCACTGACCCTGCTTGGGATTCTGTCCCTCTCTCTCTGCCCTTCCCCCACTCTTTCTCTCTCAAAATAAACTTAAAAAAAAAAAAAACACACCTTAGATGAAGAATGCTCAGTGAAGTCTGGAGTTCTTCAAATATCTGAATCTGTGAAATCCTGGCAAAAGACAGTAAGTATGCAGAGAAAAATAAAGCAGGAAGACGATGAGCAATGCTGAGAGGTCACATCTGAATAGGATGACCATGGAAGGCCTGAGAAGGTAATTTATGAACAAAGATTGTAGAAGGAAATGAATCTTGCAAATGATTAGGGAAGAACACTCTAATCAAAGCAAACAATGTGTTTTGTAAAGGCACTGGGGCAGAAGTACGCATGGTGTGTGTAACAAATAGCAAGGAGGTTGCTGTGGCTCAAGCAGACTAGATGGGAAAACAAGGGAAAGCCAGATTGAACAGGGCCTCGTGAAAAACTACAGGGGCTTTTTCTTCAGGCGGGAGTGACTGGATCTGAAATATGTTAGGATCACTGGCAGATGAATTGAGAATGGGGGGTGGAGGAAGAGCACAGGTAGAAAAAGAGAGGCGTTTGGAGGGTACTGGAAGAATATAATCAAGAAACGGCAATGCAGATTGGACCACCGCTAGTGACGAAGGCGTGAGAAGCAGATTTTTTATGTATTCTGCAGTAATGCCACAGGACATTTACAGAGTCAGGACACAAGGGACATAACGGGAAGAGTCAAGGATCACTTCAAGGTTTTTGGCCTGAGCAACGGAAAGAATGGTGTTTCTACTGGGACACGACACAGAGTAAAGGCTGAGAACAGAGCAATTCAGACTGGGGAGTGTTAGCGGTTGGAAAGGTCTACTAAGCATCCAAGTAGAAATGTCTAGCAGGCTGCCGGCCACAGAAATCTTAAGCTGAGAGGAGAGGTCTGGGCTAGACTTTTGAAAGTCACCACCAAACGGATAGAATTTAAATCCAGGCAGCTAGATGAGATTATAAAGGGAGTATGCAGATGAAGGAGAGCTCCAAGGACTGAGTTCTAGGGACTCCAACAAAAGAGGTGGAGAGATGACAAAAACAACGGAAGCAAAGAAGAAGACCAGAAGACTGTGGGGTCCAAAGCCAAAGAAAAAAATGGCTTCAAGAAGAGTTCAACTGAGATTTAAGATGAACTGACAAGTGGATTTAGCAAGAGAAGTCACTGGTGACTCTCAATGAGCAGCTTCACTGGAATGATGGGGTCAACCCACCTGGACGATGGGCATAAGGGAAAAGGGAGGGAGAAAAATCGGGGCAGCAAATACAGAAAACCCTGAAGCAATTCTGCTGTAAGAGAGAACCAATGAAGTAGAGTAGTTGCTAAAGGGAAATGGGACTGAAGAGGTTTATTTGCTGTTTAAGCTGAAAGAAATGACAGTGTCTGTCATGATTCAGGAGAGGGGATAAAATTGTTTTTGAAAATGGCACAGTATGTAATAGTGCTCTAGGTGGCATGTGCCTTACCAAAAGTGCTAAGTCACTCATGCAAGAGAAATGAGTCAGTAAAAATACTGCGTAGGCACTGTGTGCCCGCAGTGCTCCAGGACTTGACACATACTGTTTTCATCCTCACAACAACCTTGACGGAGGTTCTGTCATTATCCTCATTTTACGTATGAGAAAACTGAGGTGGAGAGTGGTTAAAAAACTTACTGATGGTTACACAGGTACTAAGGGTTTTGATTTTGAACACAGGTCACTTGGTCCAGAGTCCACACTCTTAGCTAATACATAGCCCATCCCTCATGCACCCTCTCAGGAGTCATGACATCTCTCCAGGTTGGGGATGGTTTTTTGCTTTTCTGTTTTTGTTTTAAGAGTAGTTTTAGGTTCACAGAAACATTGAGAGGAAGGTACAGAGATTTCCCACATACCCTCCTGACTCACACATGCAGACTCCCCTATTATCAATGTTCCCCCTACCAGGAATTGGGACATTTGTTCTAACAGATGAGCCTACACTGACACATCATAATCACCCAAGTCCATCGGTAGTTTTTTGTTTTTTTTCAAGATTTTCTTTTTAAGTAACCTCTACATCCAACGTGGGGCTTGAACTTACAACCCCAGAGAGATCAAGAGCCTGGCAGGCTCAGTCAGGCGGCCCCCGAAATCCATAGTTTACAGTTCACTCTTGGTGACATATATTCTATGAGTCTGGAAAAGTGTGTAATGACATGTATCTACTAGTATCATATAGAACAGTTTCATTGCCCTAAAAATCCTCTGTGCATTTATTCATCCCTCTTCTTGCCCCTCACTCAGCCCCTGCAACCTCTGATCTTCTTGCCGTCTCTATGGTTTTACCTTCTTCAGAATGTTGTATGGTTGAAATCGTACAGTTTATAGCCTTTTCAGACTGGTTTTTTTCATTTAGTAATACGCATTTAAATTTCCTCCATGTCCTTTCACAGATTGACAGCTCGTTTCTTCCTAGTCCTAAACAACAGTCCCTTGTCTGAATGTTTCACAATTTACTCACCCATTCACCTACTGAGGAACATCTTGGTTGCTCTCAAGTTGCAGCAATTATGAATAAAGCTGCTATCTACATCTCTGGGCAGCTTTTTATGTGAACGTACCACTTTCAGCATCTCTGGGTAGATAGCAAGGAGCATGACCGCTGGATCATATGGTAAGAGAATATTAAGTTGTTTAAGAAACTGCCGAACTGTCTTCCAAAGTGACTGTACCACTTTGTATTTCCACCGGCAACGAGTGAGCATTCCTTGTGTCCACATCCTCACCAGCATTTGGTGTTGTCAGGGTTCTGGATTTTGGCCATTTTAATAGGTGCGCAGTGGTATACTTCACTGTTAATTTGCATTTCCCTGATGACATAGGATATATAACATGTTTTCTTTAAAAAAAACTTTTTTAATGTTTATTCATTTTTGAGAGACAGAGTGCGAGTGGGGGAGAGTAGAGAAAGAGGGAGACACAGAATCTGAAGCAGGCTCCAGGCTCTGAGCTGTCAGCACAGAGCCCGACACGGGGATCAAACTCATGAACCGTGAGATCATGACCTGAGACGAAGTTGGACGCTCAAACGACTGAGCCACCCAGGAGTCCCTATTTTTTTTCTTTAATTTACTTATTTATTCTTGGGAGAGAGAGAGCACATGTGCCCGTGACCGGGGGAGAGGCAGAGAGAATCCTAAACAGGCTCTACGTGGTCAGAACCGTGAGATCGTGAGAACTGTGACACCATGACCTGAGCCTATCAAAAGTCGGAGACTTAACCGACTGAGCCACCCAGGCGCCCCTAGAACATGTTTTCATCATAAACTTACTTGACGTTTGTACATATTTGGTGAGATGTCTGTTAGGTCTTTGGTCCATCTTTATATCAGGTTACCTATTTTCTTACTGTTGACTTGTAACAGTTATTTATTTATATTTTTTGAATAATAGTCCTTTACCAGATGTTATCTTTTATAAATATTTTCTCCTCAAATCTGTTGCTTGTCTTCTCATTCCTTTGACACTGTCTTTCACTGAGCAGGTTCTCATTTTTATAAAGTCCAGCTTATTAATCCTTTCTTTCATGGATCACACCTTTGGTGTTGTATTTAAAAAGTCATTGCCACACCCAAGATCATCTGGGTTTTCTCATACATTATCTCCTAGGAGTTTCACAGTTTTACAATTACATTTGGGCCGGATGTCATGTTTAATTTTTGGCAATTAATTGAGAAATGCATTCCTGCCAAAAATTTATGAACCCCATACACCCAGTGTCACAGTGTGAGTGATTTTAGAATGTGGAATACTTATGCTGACTGTTGAAGTGCTTGGCATGGAACATTACAGTTGCATACTGACATCATAAGAACCATGCTGACTGACTAAAAGCACCAAAATCAAAGTGAAAGGGAATGAGTTTTAAAAATAATGTTTTGTTCTTCTCCTTAGAGGGAATCTGGAAGATACAGAAAATGATCCCCTATAGTCCCATTACCTGAATATAACAACCGATAACGTTTGCAATATTTTCTTTCATTCTTTCCATGCACACACACACTCATATATAAAATAAAAACTCACTGGCACCATTCTGAATGTAGTTTTAAATCTTCGGAATTCTTTCCCCACATAACACTGAAAATATTTTTCCATCCTCTTCAAAAGTGTAATTTTTAATGCCTGCATAGTATCTAGTATGTATGTGCCAACATTTACTTCAAAACATTTTCCAAATTTTCCCACTGCAGACAACACTTAAATTACTCCATATGCAAATCTCTATCTCACTGTCGTCTTGGGAAAATTTCCCAGGGCTGAGTTAAAGGTCAAATCTTAAGCCTCTTGATGCACGCTGACAAAATGCCTTTCGGTGCAGTAGCTCAATCTTGACACCCCTACCAGCAGCATAGGAAACACTTTCCTCAAACTGCTGTCACTTGGACAAATAAAAACTACATTTGAGTTTCATTTTTCTTTCGTTTCTTTTTTTTTTTTTTTTTTTTTAAGTAGGCTTCACACCTGGTGCAGAGCCCAACGTGGAGCCTGAACTCATGACCCTGAGATCAAAACCCAAGGTGAGATCAAGAGTTGGATGGACACTTAACTGAACCACCCAGGCGCCCCCAAAATACATGAGTTTCTTTGATTATCCTCGGCTAAACACCACTTTCATACGCTTATTACCTGTTTGTATTTCTTTTGTGAACCACTTATTCATGTCTTTGTTCATTATTCTATGAAATGTGTACTACTTTTCTTAAGACTATTATAAAGGTACTACAATAACATTGAGTATCAACCTTTTTTCTGCCCACGTACAAATATTTTCTCCACGTCAGTACATTTTGATTTTTTGATACTTTGAGACATGCAAAAATTAACAATTTCTATGCAAACTTAGAGCTTTTCCTTTGATTCTTCCACTGTTTTTCTGCTTACAGAGAAAGCATTTTCTAGATGAAATTCAAAATCTCAAAGCTTACTAAAAAACTGAAAATCAGAATAGAAATTTTCACCCTATACGGTTTGTCTTAAAGCATTTTCATGATCTTTGAGAGAAGATGCCATCCATGGGGAACAAAGCTAACATTTAATGGGTAGCAATCATGTTTCAGATTCTGTTCCAGGCCTTCTCTACTTTTAATTCTCATTTTGCGATCTCAATTTTACAGATGAGGAAACTAAACACATCAGAGAGGTTAAACACTGGTCTATCAGAAAGGAAGTCAGAGGTACTTTTAAGGAAAGAGTATCCAATTAGACTTATCCACCCCAAATGAGTTACCTCTTCGTCGATTTTATCTTCTAAGGCATCAATATGACGTTCTTTAAGAAATCGCTGTGTTTTTTCCAATTGGTATTTCACTAATTCCTCTATGGCATCTTTTTCTTCCTTGTCCACAAATTCTTGTACTGCTTCGCCCATTCCCCTTTCGGTTAGAAGTGAGAGCTGCACATTCTATAAAAGAGGTACAAACCACTGCCACTGGATGCAGAAATCAGGATCTATTCCTTACCAAATAATTCTATATGAGCAAGAAAAATTATAGTCTAATGTTACCAGGGGAAAAAGACAAAAAAGTTATCTAGTTATTGAAGGGAAAACAAAACAAAACAATGGGCAGTAATTAAGCCTACTAACAAATATTCAGGGCTAGAAAAAGCCAAGTAAAAACCAGATACAGGAGTAGTGTAAAAGACAGGAAGAAATGCAGAGGCCCTAGTGGTTGGGATAAATGGTCCTGAAATGGTAGCCAATGACTAAGAGACTAGGTTAACCAGTGCAGCAGGCAGAATGATGGCCCCTACACATGTCCACATCCTAATCTCTGGGACCTGTGAGTACATTATAAGGCAAAGGATAATTGAGCTTACAGATTACTAATCAGCTGGCCGTACAATTGGGAGGTTACAGGGACTATGCAAGTGGGCCCAGTGTAATCACAACAGGGGGTGAGAGGGAGATCGAACTGGCAGGAAACGGCCAGAGAAACAGAACATTGCTGGCTTTGGAGGTGGAAGAAGCAGGCTGTGAACCAACAAATGTGGACACCTTTAGAAGCTGGAGAAGATAAGGAAATGGAGTCTCCCCTAGAGTCTCCAAAAAGGAACACACAACCCCGCTAATACCTCGGTTTTAGGCCAGTGAGACTGGTGTCAGATTTTTGACCTACAGAACTCTAAGACAATAAATCTGTGTTAATTTAAATTATTAAGTTTGTGGAGACTTGTTTCAACAGCAATAGGAAATGAATACAGCCAGATCTTAAAGTGACATATACTCATGCCAAAAAAAGTAGCTGCACCGTCCCGTGGCTATATTCCTCGAGTTCTGAAACTACATCCAGATGCAAGAAAAGTAAATCCTGGATTCAGAAACATTTGGTAGAGAAAAGAAGGAAGAACAGAACAACATCGACAACAATAGCCACAATAATAATACCATCAAGCACTGATTTTTCTTAATGTAGAGTAACTATAAATGAGTATAATTCACTCTTACCCTACTTACTTCATAGAGACCTTGTGAGAATCCTCTACGTTTACTTATTTATTTATTTTTGAGTGTTTATTGTTTAGGGAGAGTGAGAGAGAGCGTGTGCAAGGGAGGGGCAGACAGAGAGGGAGACAGAGTATCAAGCAGGCTCTGCTGGCAGCACAGAGCCCAATGCAGGGCTCGAACTCACAAACCACCGTGAGATCATGACCTGAGCTGAAATCAGTAGTTGGGTGCTTAACCGAATGAGCCAACCAGGCGCCCCTCGTTTCAAGTATCAACTATACATGACCCAAATTCAAGTCTGCTATCATAAGACAGCCATTATTCAAAATGTAGACTGTAATTAAGAAATTACCTTTTCCGCAGTTTGAAAATACTGTTTTACAAGGTCTTCTACTCTTAGAGTTGTGCCTTCTGAAGGTTTTGTGATTAACTTTCCAAAGTTGATTTCTTCTCCTAGAAAAAAGAAGTCCGTGGAAAAACAGTAGCTTCCATTACAGTGTTAAAGTACCCAAACTTATGGCAAGTCTGGCTCAGTGGAGGCGGAATGGCCAAACCGTATCAACAATCAGCTCGGGCATTCTGAGGCAAAAACATGGCATTTCTACTGACAGCTGCAGTCTCCTCCTCAAAGCTTGTATTTTTCCACATCTCCAAGTACTACGTCTCCTACAGCACAGGGTGGTCTTCAGACCTCTGGGGATCTCCAAAACGACTTCAAGGGATGTTCAGGGACAAAACTACTTTCATAACACCGAGATGTTATTTACCTTTCCCACTATATTGACAATTACAAAAGCAAGTCTGGGTAAAATCGCCAGTTCCTCATTACAAACCAAGGCAGCGGCTTGGAACTCTGCAACAGTCACCACCACATACGCACAGCTCAAAACAAAACAAAAAGACAGCCAGTTTCACTCATGGATGTCTTAGATGAAACTATAAAAAGTATTGATTTAATTAAATCTCAGCCCTGAGGTATATGCCTTTTTAATAGTCTGTGAGACAAATGGGATGTATGCTTACAGCACTTTTGCTGCTTTCTGAAGCAGGATAGTTGTCGCAAAAACAGCAGGTGAAGAATAAAAAGAGTATTGGGTAGGAAGCCAAGAAGCATAGGGTCCAGTATCTACTCTGCTGGTAACTCTTGTCAGGGAAACAAATATTAGCTGTCTGACATACTGGACCTGGCCATGAAAACCCAATGATAAGACAGGATCCCTGCCTGTGAGAACAAATGATTAAAATTAAGGTGGGAAGTGCCACCTGAGGGAAGAACAGAGAATATGACACACAGGAAAGAAATGAATCAATCTTCTCAGAGAAGGTTGAAAATAACGTGCAAATATCAAATGCAGCTATATCATTTGAATCAAGACCTCCAGAATGAGTAAGATTCACAAGGCAAAACAGGAAAAAGAAAAAAATTTGACGCAGAGGGAAAAATACGTGCAATGGCCCAGAGGGTAAAGAGGCACAAAGTTCAGTGTGCCTCTTGCAAAGTACTAGAGACAAGTAAACAGAAATCGTTTCTAAATTTCAAGACAGAATTAACATCATGACTTCCTAAGTATGAAGTCATGCCAGACACTGTGTTAAGACCGTTTACACGCAGTGTGTCTTCTAATCCTTAACCACAGTTCTGTGAGGCAGGCTCACGTACTATCCTGATTTCACAAACAAGAAAATCAACCATCAGATAGGTTATGTACTTTTGTACAATGTCACACACGTAGTTAAGAAGCAGAGCTGACCAAAATAACAAGAAATGCTTTCAATAAAACACACAAAAACGTTGTTTTTTTTAAGTTTATGATTTATTTTGAGAGAGAGAGAGAGAGAGAGAGAGAGAGAGAGAGAGAAGGCCAAGCAGGCTCTACACTGTCAGCATAGACCACCATGCAGGGCTCGAACTCACGAATCGACAGAACATGACCTGAGCCGAAATCGAGAGCTGGATGCTTAACTGACTGAGGCACCAAAGTGCCCCTTCTGTTTTGCAATTCATGTTTAAACCAAAAAGGAATCATTAGAATAAAACTGACTATGGATGAAACTCAAGTAACAACATACTATTTCTATATTCTGTATTATTATGATCTCAAGGGACTGATAAGGATGGACAATTAAAGAAAACCATGATCAATAAGCAACTAGTTAAAATTCATAGCATAAGAAAGTAATTATCTGACACAGATTTTTTCCTAAAACAGTGTTTTATGAGTTCCACTTAAATACCTGAACGAGGGGTACCTGGTTGGCTTATTCGGTTAAACATCTAACTCTCGATTTCGGCTCAGGTCATGATCTCATGGTTCATGAGTTTGAGCCCAAAGTCTGGCTACATTGTGGGGCTACGTGCTAATAGCACAGAGCCTGCTTGGGATTCTCTCTCTCTGCCCCTTCCTCCACTCGTGTGTGTGGACTCTCTCTCTCCTCCTCTCTCTCAAAATAAATAAATATCTGAACCAATGTTTCAGGTTGAATTAATAGCATGGAAAATTCGATCACAATGTGACATTGAAAACAGAAGCTCCATTAAAGCTCGGTTAATAAAAACGTAAACAGCTTACCTATAAAAAAAAAGATATTTTTCTATAAAAATTCTCTGACTCAATAGCTTTAAGAAGAACCTCTATATTTAACATGATCAGTATTTCTAATGAAGAAGCACTATTTCAGTTGGATGGCCTTTTTTATAAATACATTTAAAATAAGAACAATTAGGGGCATCTGGGTAGCTTTGTTAGTTAAGCATCCAACTCTTGGTTTTGGCTCAGGTCATGATCTCACATGGTTCGTGAGATCAAGCCTCAAGACAGGCAGCATGGAGCCTGCTTGGGATTCTCTCCCCAACCCCCCCCCCCGCCCCTCCCATGTTCGCACATGTGCTCGCTCTCTCTCAAAATAAATAAAACGTTTAAAAAAATGCAATTAGTTATTATGAAATTTAATTGGAACTTAATTATGTGGTCATCAGAGACATCAAACACCTCTTATTCCAAGACTCGAGTTGTCCTAAATCCTGTATACTCAAAAGTTGAAATACTTGCGTAAGATTTGAGTATATTCTCTAAACATTAACAATGTATAGTCAATAATGTATACTTTGAGCAATAAATCTCTAAAGTCTGTGTGTACTGTTAGCACTATTTTCACAAACTATGTCTGCAGAGAAAATGTCCCTTTCTTTATTAATATCCACAGGTTTAAAAATGATGGCTATCTAATGTTTAGAAGACAAGAGATTTAATTATTCCAGTGTCAGCTTGCCCAAGATATGAGAAATAATCACAAAAACATTTCCATTAGTTTATATTTCTTTTACTAAAACTTGATTTTTATACATCCTATAAAAAGCATTTTTTTAATCTGTAAAGATAACTGGCTTACCTGTGTTTTCCTTTTGTTCTCTGTGCCTGAAAAAATGGATAACATCTTTTGGGTTAGCTACCCGATCCACAAATTTCTGGCTAAAGCGAAGAACACTGAAAGGTTCAAAACCTCCACTATAGTCCACCTGGAAATACAAAGCAAGCTATGAAGGCCTGGAAACAGTTTACCAATTCCATTATTTATGTTGCTGCTTTTAAGGTAGTAAGTTAATGTTCTATAATTCATATTAAAAGATCATGATGGTGTTACACCTTTCATTCTACTGAGGAAATAAAGCTTCAAAGGTTTCTAAGCTTACACAAGACACTTTGCTTGACAGAATCAAGATACAGCAAGAATTCCCACAAGATCTGAAGGAGTTACTCTCCCCAGGATAACACTGAGAGCCTGGGCACCAGAAGTACCATCTGGAAAGGAGGGGAAGTTTCTAAACAGGAATATTAAAAAAAATTTTTTTTTAACATTTATTTATTTTTGACACAGAGAGAGACAGAGCATGGACGGGGGAGGGTCAGAGAGACGGAGACACAGAATCTGAGACAGGCTCCAGGCTTTGAGCTGTCAGCACAGAGCCTGACGCAGAGCTCGAACTCACGGACTGCGAGATCATGAACTGAGCCGAAGTCGGCTGCTTAACCGACTGAGCCGAAGTCGGCTGCTTAACTGACTGAGCCACCCAGGCGCCCCTAAACAGGAGTATTTAAACTTTCAAAACAGAAAGAAAATTCTCCACTGAAATAAAAGGCTGGCCCTAGATGCATTAGTGAATTGCTATCATCTCAGGGATATACTCTCACACTGAGGAATAAATGCTGGGAAGATCCATGCAGAAACAGAATCAAATGTGTTAGCTTTGAGAAATGATTACCTTTAAAACACAGTATCTGTTTACAACAGTCACTCTCCAGGCAGGCTCTAAGTTAACAAGTTTATGGTCATACTTTCACAAAGAGAAATACATACATCTTTTTCCAATACATACATCATTTCCCTAAACTAGCTGTTCTAAAAACAGGCTCTGGGAACCAACATTGTGCTGCAAGGCTGGCCTATCCAAACTATTCCCTAACCTCCACCCAATTTATACTCTTCATCACTCTTAGCACTAGTTGGCATTCTGTTCATTTATTTGCTACCTGTTTTTTATGTCTCTCCTCATACCTCCATCTCCCATAAGCCCCATAAATTAAAAACCTCTTCTATTTTACCATCACTGTGTCCCTCAGCATGCAGAACAGAATGTACTTCCAGTGTTTGTTCACTTAGTCATAAAATTAACATGGGTCCCCTAGTTGATATAACATACTTTGGAATATTACATACATAAAAATATTTGTTATTTTGTTTCATGAATTTACTGTGTTTAGGAAAAGGAATGCCAACTTTCTATTTAAGTTTGGTTAGTTCTAATGGTATCAGCAAACACAGATGAGAAACATGAGATCTTCTAACCTGACAAAGAGAACGATGTGGTTCTCCCAAAGCAACTATGTATTATATCACTACCACGTCCATGTTATATAGCAGAAAATGCTAAATGTTCATGCTACAGGGTCGCCCCAAAATTCTTCACACACTTTCTCAATTATACTCCAGCTTAACCTGATTTGTAATCTTCTGCTCTGAAGAGCCACAAAACTTGTTCACTAAGCAAACTTTATTGAGGGGTCCACAGTGTGCTAGGTACTCTGCTAAGGGCCTATTTTTATATCACCATAAAAAAGCATAATCTTGGTTGTCAACCCGACTGGCAAGACAAACATGTAGATAACTGCCAGCAGAATGTGAATGGTACTAGAACAAGTACGTACAAAGCAGACCGAAGACACAAAGGAAGAAGCACTGCTTCTGAAGGGAGGTCAAGAAAGGCTCCTAGAAGAGGGGAAACTTTAAGTGGATGTTGAAAGAAATGCTATGGAAGGAGAGGTCAAGAAAGGCTCCTAGAAGAGGGGAAACTTTAAGTGGATGTTGAAAGAAATGCTATGGAAGGAGAGCAGCACACTCCACACAGCAGGATCAGCAGGGACAAACGTATGAAAGAGGAAAATAAACTCTACTGGACCCAGGGAACGGCAACTTTTAACCTAATATGGCTGGAGCTTAGAAGGTTCTGGCAGAAAAGGAAGGAAGAAGCCAAAGAGTTTGGTTTTGACCAGGTCATATAAACCCTTCAATGCCATGCAAGAGTGTAGACTTCTTCCTGTTAGCACTAGGGGACCATTAAGTCCCTTTCAGCAGGAAAGACATGCAAGACTGTGTTTTACAAGGATGATCTTGGCATTAGTGTGAATAGACTAGAGGTGGAGACAGGGGGAAAACTAATGGCAGAGTCAGGTAGGAGGCTGCAGTTACAGGCCAGATAAGAGAGAATGAAGGCTTGATCTCAGCAATGACAATGGAATAGAAGGCACCAGATTACTTCCTGTGCAAAGGTCAATATGTAATTCATTTAAATTTTGCGAATCTATGAGGTACAAACCTAGGTCATACACTGGTTTGAACCCATACATGCCTGAATCCAGGCATTCTGGCTTCGACTGTTCTCTCTTTACCTTCACACTCTACATCCCAGAGTTTCTCAAATTTTAACGTGCATACAAATCTCTTGGTGATCTTATTAAAACGCAATTCAGCGGCACCTGGCTGGATCAGTTGGCAAAACATGCGACCCTTGATCTTGGGGTCATGAGTTCGAGCCCCACACTGGGGGTAGAGATTCACATAAAAAAATAAAATCTTTAAAAAATGCAATTCAGTGGGTCTGATGTAGGGCTTGAGATTCTGCATTTTTAAGAATTTCCCAGGTGATGTAGTGCTGCTGTTGTGATTATTCCTTGAGTACCTGGGTTTAGGGGGGCTCACGGACCTCAACAAGGAGGTTTAAGCTAGAGGTAAAGATTTGGGAATCATCACTCCATAGGTGGTCATTAAAGCCACATGCCTAGGCTGAAATGGAAGCTCAGAGAGAAGATGGGTCAAACATAACTCGGAGAGAATGCCACAGTGATTCAGTCAGATGAAAACAATCTACTGGCTTTGACAACTGAAGCTCATCTTTCCCACCTGAGATGGTGGGGTGAGAGCCTTGCTTATAGTGGACTGGGGAACAGAATGTTAGATGCACAGTAAGAGCTATGTATTTGGAGGGGTTTGGAAGAAAATAAAGACAGGCAGAGCTAGCTAAAGGGAAAGGCACAGGGACAAAAAAAAAAAAAAAAAAAGAGTTGTTACTTTGTTTATATGATGATAGAAAACGGCAGTAGCTTTACAGGCATAGGAAGCATTTCAATTTCTTAGAATTGTTTAATCCTCTCAAATACTTATTCTTTCATCGTATTTATCAAGCACTTGCTGTATGCCAGAACTGTTTGGAGATCTTTGGACACATGAGGTAACAAAATCCACAAAGTTGCACGCTTTCATGGAGCTTACAGCTTTGTAGCTGAGGGCTGAGGACACGTTAATAATCAAAATAATTACATTGTATACAGTAGGTTAGGAGGATGTATTGTGGTAAACAAAGGACAAGGAGACCAGAGTAAGGGAAATCAGGAGTGCTGGTGAGAAGGTATGGGGGTGCCATCTCATTTGGGGGGGCCTCACTGAGCAGACGTAGAGAAGGGTAGTATGTTAGAGTAGGGGACAGCAGGTAGGCCACAGTGTCTGGGATGGAGGATAAAGAGGGAGATAGTAGAAGATAAAGGCAGAGATCTCAGCCAACCTATTAGATAGAACAGATTATTTAGAAAAGGAAACAAGTACCAAACCTATCAGAATCAAACTATGATTAAATCAAATCCTGGTACCTTTATTATTTCTGGTGCAAGCTGGTGATTGCTATTATTATACATATCCTTCTTACTAATTAAAATAATAAAGTTTAATTTATCTAAGTAGGACTTACTCGAAGTCGTATGAGAGGCTTCTCTGGCTGTCGAGAGTTTCCCAGACGTTCTCGCTCAGCATTTTCAAGCATTTCCTTAATCTCAAAATAAAAATACTGTCATGACTTGGGGCAAAGGGACTACTGGCATCTAGCAGGTGGAGGTCAGAGATACTGCTGAAATCCCTACAGTGCAACCTCCCACAACAGAGAATTACTCAGTCTAAGATGTCTCGGCTGACAGACCTGACGTAGGCCTGACCAATCAATCTGTCTTCCACCTCCCAGGGACACATCCACGACCCGAGTCCAACGGAACCACTGGGAAAACCAGGCTCTTTTGGCTGTAGGCACATTGTGAGTCTGCGGGCAACCGCATGGACACGCCCACCTCTTCAGAGTGAAGCGTAAGACAGCTACCTACAGAGGGGGTGTCATGGGACCAAACACGGAAGCAGACAGAAACTGCAGTCCTGATGGGAGTTTTTAGACTGAATCCTCCCGAATCCAGCATACTCTGCAGTTTTTCAGCTATGGCAGTTACATGCTGCCAGGAATGCTGTGCCACTGGGCGAGTTATTCCACCTAAAGTTCGGTTCCTCTTTCTATAAAATGCGGATGGCACAATCTACCCACCTACAGCATTGTTGAGTGGATTAAACAGAAAATGCTGTCACCAGTACCCAGAATATATAAGCAGCCAATGAATACCAGTGATAATTGTAAGAACTCAGTACCCACAATTAATGTCATTAAGCTGTCAATTTACAGATTATTAAATGCATTCACACCACTTCTGCAGTGGCTCTAGAATGTCTCAGAGGTCCAGGGGTGGCAATCTGCTTGGTAGGTGAGGTATGGTACTTCTGCTGAAGCTACAAGGCACAGAGCAAACACACTTCAAGATTTCATTTGGGGTAGCTTTCAGGGTAGAATGAGATGAGATGAGATGCTAAGGCTCTCTTCATCCTCCATGGTCCCCGACCCCCCCCCCCCCCCCCCCCCCCCCCCCCCCCCCCCCCGCAATTCCCCAATCAAAGCCACTGCCTCCTGTCATAAATGAAATGCACAAGTTATCCAGTCAGAATTAAAAGAAAAAATTAAGTGTTTGTTTTTGAGGAGGAGGGATGGAACTGGGAGGGGGTTTAATTAAACAGAGTTTGTCCTACATGTAACAGTCTTCCATCTCAGAGACTAGAAAAAAAAAGTCCTTGATACAACTAAACTCATTCATGGAACAACAGTCGTCCCTTGCAGGCTTCCTGAGAATGTTACAAATATGGCGACTTCCCCATCTCCACTGAAGCATTTAATTAATTGTCAATAACCTTCAACCAAAGCACATCTCATTGACCTTTATCCAGAGAAATTACCTTCTCCAAACAGAAGCTTTGTATGGCCTGGGTTACTTTAGGATTATCTGGGTTAAAAATGTCTGGATGATCGGCCAGAACAATATCCTCCATAAAAAACTGCCGCACTGTGTGGAGAGGAATTTTCTGCATATTCATCTTTCTTCCCTTAACGCGCAGCAAACCAACATGCCTGAAGTGAGGAGGGAATCGAAAGCCTTGTCACGCTGTAAATTTTCTCAGGAAAATGTGCACATTAAAACTATCATATTTCTAAGTTTCTACAAAATATTTCTTTATAAAATCATACTCTTAAAAAAAATTTTTTTAGCAACTTAATCTTAATGCTGTTATCACAGGACAAATGCTAAACATCCCTCTTCCCCAGAATAAAATCCAGTCATCCCTCCTGTCTGAACAAATATAGTTTAGTGAGGGAAGACAGACAGACAGTAGATCAAACAAAATGTTACCAGGACTATGATAGTGGTATATATATGTATTACATCTGTGTATATAAGTACACATACATACATAAAATGAACTAGCATAAGTATGAAGAAAAAAACCCATATATCCTACTACCATATTCTTTAAACCTATTATTACCATCTTAACAATCAAAATCTGAGTGGATTCAAGTGGTGAAATCCATCATAAAAATTGGACTTAATCAGTGTTAACTACTTTAGCATATAACTAAAGAACTAAAAGAAATGAGATGTGCTATAATATTCCACTTATAACCAAAAAAATCTTAATTAAATGGTGTTAGGTAAATCTGTTTACAAATGGACTTTGGGAAATTAGTAATCATCGTCATAGCACTTTAACTTGAAATTTAATTAGTAAAACTATTAGCCCTGAATATGCCTAATAAGCTGCAAAATCATTAACACCATTGGGAGGCTCTCCTGTTGAGCACAGCTTAAGAGCTGGGAAAACAGTAAGACTACACTGAATGGTGAATCTTTGTGAAGAAATCTATCATATAGAGAACCATCACTATCTTGAACCTATTAAATGATGATAGTATTATAGCAGGTATTTTTTTTATTTGAATTGATTTGGAAAATATAACCATTACTTACTTCTTTACAGCCTCTCCTGGGGAAAGAGAAGTAACCACTGAACTTCCAGGTTGTGATACATAAAAGAGCTGTTGTTCATTTTTGGTTGGAGCTATTTTACACTCATGTTCATGGCCCCAGATAACAAGATCAATGAAGTCATCCAAAAATTGTTCTGGAATGAAGTTAGTATTTCCGTGTTTACTCCTATACCAAGATTTTTAAAAATAAATAAATGTCCAGAGATACAGAGACACTTCACATTAAGTAAATCTACACAGATCTTTCTTTCTCCATTCATCAAAGCCTTGTTATGTCTCTTCTATGTGCCAAAAACTATTCAAGAGATTAGGGATGCAAACATAATACCTAATTCCTGCCCTCAAAAGGTTTACAAACTTGCAGGGCACAGACAAGTAGGCGCCACAAAAGAGAAAGGGTCAGTTCCACACTGAGAGGCAGATCACGAAAGGCTTTACAGAGGGAAAGTCAGAAAAGCATGAGCTCTCTCAATAATGAAAACGGTAAGTTGGTTTGATTATGTACATATGTAATCAGAAAATAAAGTGAATTAAATCTAAACTTTGTAAAATAAAAAACAAATCTCTAAAAATGTCCAGTCATTTTTTAGCATGTTTTGTTCACTCATAATAATGGGTGTAAGAAAGTTTGTCTTACTTAAGAGATGAATTTATAAATAACTTTCATAATAAATATTATTAAATGATATTGTATGAAGATTTTTGCAGACTCTGGTTTTATACCTAGATTAGTTGCCTTTATTAAGAGATATGTAAACACCCAAAGAGAGGAAAGACCAGAAGAAAGTTTTCCCAAATACTGACTTCATCATTGGGAATTTAAGTAAAAGTATTCAAATACTTCAACCCAGCATTCGCTTAAGGCAAATCAAAAACTTACTCATTCAACAAGTATTTACTGTGTGCCTACTACGTGCCTAGTGTTCCAGTGCCTACTACGTGCCTAGTGTTCCAGACCTCTTCTAGATACCGAAGACAACAGCAGTGAACAAAGTCCTTGTGCTAGTGAAACAAGCAATAACATAGTATGTATGTGTATGTGCTTACACATACGTGTACGCACGTATAATTTGTCAGGTAGTGCTAAGTGCTGTAAAGAAAAAGGGAAAAGTGACACACAACAGGAATGCTACTATGTGCAAGGTGGTCAGGACAAGCCACTTAGCCAGGTGACGCAAGGGCAGAGAACTGTGATGAGGGATCAAGTGTAAGAGGAACGAAAAACAAAACAAAACAAAACTGTAAGCGAGGGAAGAAAGCCCTCGGGAGAGGGCTGAGTCCTGGGCAGAAAGTCACAGAGCACATGACAGAGGTATCGAGGTGGGAATGTGTTCAGTGAGTTTAAGGACGGCAGGGAGGGGGGAGTGACTGAGCAGAATGAAAAGCAGGAAGGGAAATCAGAGCAGCAGCAGGCTTGTATATCTAAGAATGGTTTTGTGTAAAAAACACACATCTAGGGAACATTATCACAGTTACTGAAGAAACAAAGCATAACTCAAATATTGTATGATACAATCGTGCCTTCACAGAGCACCATCTCTTGCATGCAGAGGGAAGATTATGCCTGTGGGCTGACTCTGTGACTTCCATCTGACTTTTGACTTAGAAGTCGATCAAAACAGCCTTGTGGAAATATATTACATGACAAAGTGCTCTTCTGCTTTCCTTCTTTCGCAGCCAGAAAAACAAACAGGCCCAAGTATAGAAACAAATGGGAAATAAAGTCATGATCTCACAGTTGTGAGATTAAGCCCTGCGTCTGGCCTCATGCTGGGCTTGGAGCCTGCTTAAGATACTCTCTCAATTCCTCCCTGGCTTGCACGTGGACTAGTGCTCTCTAGAAAACAATGAAGTACTTAAGAATGCAGAGGGTGACAAATGCATCTAACAGTACTACAAAAGAATTGCACAGTTATGTTCAAGTGGGAGGGAGAAAAAGGAGCTGGCCTAAGTAACCTTGGAGGTGGTGTTTTCTTTGTGTCCCTAAAGTTTATTTTGAAAGAGAGACAGAGAGAGAGAACACTAGCAAGGGACGGACAGAGGATCCGAAGAGGGCTGTGTGCTGTCAGCAGAGAGCCTGATGTGGAGCTTAAACTTACAAACCAGGAGATCGTGACCTGAGCCAAAGTCAGACACTTAACTGACTGAGCCTCCCAGTTGCCCCTAGAGGTGGTGTTTTGACTAGATATAGTGAGGCTAAAAACAAAAATCACTTACATAAACACTGTATACTAGTTGGTAAATTTGTTTCTCACAGGGGTACAGGTCAGCAATTTTAAAAAATTACCTTATATGTCAACCAAGATTGAAAAAATAAGTAAATATACTATAGATAAAATGATCCAGGTTTCTGTTAGAGAAAGAACTCCCAAATAAGAAAAGGGAGAAGACACTCCCTCTGCCCTTCTGCCCTGCTCCCACTCTCTCTCTAAAATAAAAAAGAAAAGAAAAGAAAAATTAAAAAAATGGGGCACCTGGGTGGCTCAGTCAGTTGATCATCTGACTCTTGATTTCAGCTCAGGTCTTGATCCCAGGGTTGTGGAACTGAGCCCCATTTCGGTGTCTGTGCTGGGCATGGAGTCTGCTTAAGATTCTCTCTCTCCCTCTACCCCTCTCCCCTGTTCAAACTCTCTCTCTCTCTCTAAAAGAAAAAGAAAAAAAAAAGAAAAGGGAGAAGACAAAAATGAACCCTATAGGGCTGGATTAGAGTAAGTATGAATTCATGCTTCTGTTTGTGTGTGTGTGTGTGTGTAACACATATATCAATACACAAATATAGATGTGTATGCATGGGTTAGGACATATGCACATATTTCCTTAACTCTGATTACTGAGGGCTAAGACAGCCCCAGTAGCAGTAAGCACACCTAGTGGCCATATCTGGGTTTCTAAATACTCTTCTCCAATAAAAGCAATCAGTGCTCCTTGGAGAAGTGGTTGATTCCAGGGCCAGGGCAGAAAAACACAAGATGAGGCAGAAGCATCTTGTGGTAGTAAAAAATAAGTAAATGTACTTATTAGTTAAGGAAGTTTAAAGTTAAGGAAGTTAAGGAAGATTAAATAAATACATAAATGCATAAAGAAAGAAGAAGGCATGCTGAAAGGACACAGAATCTAATATAAAAAAACTCCCAATGGTCAAAGCTGGAAGAATTTGAGCAACAACAAAAAAACTGGATAGTACTGGATTATAACTCAAAGGATAAAATAAATACCCTTGAGTCCATAACAACATAAATAAAAAAATGAATAAATGAGAGAGAAGCAACAAATTTTCCTTACAGAAGACTTTCAATGAATAAATGCAGACAGAATGAGGGGAATTAAAAAATAACACAACATCATAGTATGCATTGCTAGAAACAAGATTCACCAATGGATGCTAGAATTAGCGGGCAAAATTTTAAGGCAAAACAGGATATTCACACAGCCTCAAAGTATTTTTACCAAACTATTAATTACAGAATGGAAAATGGGACCTTGACAATGGTGAAACCTGGAGCAGACCACCTTCATCAAATGATCACTGTGAACGTCACCAGCAACTGGCCATTACCAACCCCAATGCTGCCATTCCATCTCACATTCTGATTGCAGCTCTTGGAATCAATCACTTAGGATTTCTCCTTCCGATTTTTCCCTACTTTGGGAAAGTAGAAAGCATAGCAGAACTGGGAAACCCTAAGCAAGAGAAGGAGCACACTCCCAAGTGGTGCAAAGTTCTACGGAGACCACACTTACTACAGCTCTGGCCTGCTCCTCCTTCAAAGCTGTTTCTTTCAGCATGTACATAAGGCAATGCAAGGCTGCCTCCTAAAGCCCTCCTTTCACTGAGAACTTAGTGGGTTCAAGTGCCAGGGATCCTGCACTCAATAAATACCTGTTCAGTAAGTAATAAGTTACACAATCAGGCCCAAATCCCTTTGGATTCTTCCTTGATAACTTCTCAGGTCTGTCCCTTCCACATCATCTTCACGCCCATCACTACCATCATTTCACACTATTTTATCTGTGGTCACATAATAAGCCTTGCATCAAGTCTTCCTTCCTTTCCATCAATCCTGCACCCTACCAACAGATTAAACTTCTTCAAAATACTAGCAAAAGAAAACTGATCTAGCTATATTTAATATATTCCAGAAAAACACTTGCATACATGCACCAGGAGATGCATGTAAGAGTAGTCATAACAAAAAGCTTTAAGAAAGCAAGACTCTGGAAGTAACACAGAATATTCACTAACACGTGAAAAAGTAGAACTGTACATACCAGTGAAAATTAATTACACTTTTAAGCATCAAAATGGATGAATCTTAGTAATGTAATGTGTAACACACTAAGCCAGCTGCAAAATATACAGCAGGGCTCCAGTTACACCAAACCAAATAAAATACTCATTGTGGACAGATATACACAATTAAACAATAAGGAAAAGCAATGGATTTGATTAAATACAAATTAAAAATAGTGCTTCCTTTTGGAATATGTGGAAAGATACGGGGTCAGAGAAGGGCATGGGATAATGCACTGGTAGTGTTCTACTTGAATTTAAGATTATTTGATTTTATGGTTATTCTTGCACATGTCATATTCTTTACAGATAATATATATTGGAACCGATTTCACAATGCAGTCATACGAAGCACAGTTAAGTTCTGCATGATCCTTTAATGACAACTTTCAAAGAATAAGGAACATTTTATGGAAACTGGGAAGCTTGGAAACAGAGATTTAAGGAACCTCCATACTTGACTCAAAATTTTAAAAAGAAGTTTTTTTCAAAAAATTCGTTTACCTGTTCTGATGAATCACAAATAAGTTAAACCAAGAGTTCTCATCTTCTTTTGGTCTCAACATTGTTACCTTTTTATTGACAAACATTCGATAGAGCCTTTCATCTGGAATGGACCCTGAAATAGACGTTATTTTAATAACTGGTTTCTTACTTAGTTTTCAAAAAAGAATGTTTCACTTCTAAATTTTGTGCTTCTCTAAGTATTTCATGTTCTTATTAGAGATACATTTGAAATGTATCATTATTTACAAATGAGTATGTTCCAGGTTCTCACATGACAGCTGCTAAGAAGATACATGTATTAAAAACATGTTTCCCAGGGCGCTTGGGTGGCTCAGTCAGTGGGGCATCTGACTCTTGGTTTCGGCTCAGGTCATGGTTCATGAGTTCGAGCCCCGCATCGGGCTCTCTGCTGTCAGCACAGAGCCCGCTTTCTCCCATGCTCTCTCTCTCTCTCAAAAATAAACAAACATTTTGGAGAAAAAAAAAAAAATTTTTTTTCCATGTCAGGCATACATACCTTCAAAATCTGGAAAATGCAGAATAAAAATTTGAGTTTTCTATGCTTAAATTCTTACTAAAATTTCTAATAATATTGTTTTCCACTATCCCTTTATTATACATACTTTTGACCTAACATACACATTATAAAATACACACATTAAAAAGGATGAAATAAAAAAATAAATGCATTTAAAAATAATCTTATATATTGGGTTTTTTTAAACCTTAAAAAAAAAATGTTTAGTTTTGAGACAGAGAGATAGAGAGTGAGCAGGGGAGGGGCAGAGAAAAACAGGGACAGAATCCACACTGTCGGTGCAGAGCCTGATGCGGGGCTCAAACTCATGAACTATGAGATCATGACCTGAACCAAAATCAAGAATTAGACGTTTAATAGACTGAGCCACCGATGCCTAGTCCTTACCCAGCCCCCTTATAAATGGTTTTTAAATAAAGATATTATGCTTTTTAATAATATAATGACTTTTAAATAATTCTTCTTGTACCCTAAAGGATCACCTTAGTCTAATGGAAGCAGCCAAAAAAAACCAAGTAAACACACAAATTACACTTTTAAATACTGTAAAAGGGACAAAAGACGCTAAGTGGCGAGTATCAGTGAGGGGACAAGTTGCTGCTTTATGCAGTCATTAGGGAAGGCCTTGGAAGAAAATCCAACAATGCAGAAATGTAAGAACTAGAAGTCTAGCTTCTTAAAGAGAATTTCTAGAGTGTGACCAATGGAACAGATGGTGCAATGTAGAACATATAAACTGGAAACAAAAAAGTCAAGGCATACAAAGCCCAAGGCATCAGAAGGTTGACTGATCTACTTAGGTGTTGAAGCTCTGAGAACACAGACACAATTTGAAGGTAAGTAGGTGAAAAATTTGAGGGAAAGGACAGGGCAGTCTAGCCAGCTGGCAATTAGCTTCAAGGGGGCAGGGTGTCTGCAGATAGGAAAGAAATGGCAAGCAGGGAGAAGGGAGAAGGGAGAACAGTGATCCCTCACACTCCACCCTAAGACCTGTAAGAAGCCTGTGAGAAGTGAGTGGGAAGCAGAGCCTTGGGGACTAGTTTCCTGTAAGTCGGAGTGGAGGTAACATGCAGAGAAGAAACTGATGATAGGAGGGAATTTGCTAACTATAGAGTTCTAGTGTGTAGAGAGAAGAATTGGGGTGTGTGTGTGTGTGTGTGTGTGTGTAGTCCAGTTAAGAAGAGAACAGGATGGAATGAGACTCTGGGAGAAAATGGAGACTGAGGGATATTCCAGGGGGTGCCTGAGGCATAACAGGATCTTAGTCTGAAAGTAGGAGGATCAATGATTTTCTGCAGATATGACCCCTAACACTGCAGTGATTAAAATACCTGTTAGTAGCTTTTTAAAAAGTGTATTTCACTTCCTGCTCTATCACCTGGGAAATCAGACATAACACTTTGATCTCATTTTCCATCTCTCTACAGATAACCATGATGCTTTTCTACTTTTTAGAAATTATGAAAACTGGACAAAGACTGTAAGCGCCCTGGAGAAAGTATTTAAATAAACCATCCATCATAATTATACTTTTAAAAACATATTCGAAGAGAATTAAGTAGGGGCGCCTGGGTGGCGCAGTCGGTTAAGCGTCCGACTTCAGCCAGGTCACAATCTCGCGGTCCGTGAGTTCGGGCCCCGCGTCAGGCTCTGAGCTGATGGCTCAGAGCCTGGAGCCTGTTTCCGATTCTGTGTCTCCCTCTCTCTCTGCCCCTCCCCCGTTCATGCTCTGTCTCTCTCTGTCCCAAAAATAAATAAAACGTTGAAAAAAAATTTAAAAAAAAAAAAAGAAGAGAATTAAGTAAATAAGGTCTTCTAAGGCTTCTATTATACTAAAATCACTCAAAAAATAATAAAAATTATGCAAAGGTTACAGTGTGAAATTTCTCATTTCTCTCAGGGTACTACTTTAAGGTTGATTTAACATAGAATATAATTTTTATAACTCTATACATAATAAAACTACTAAAGCTATTGCATTCATAAAACAACATATCAACCTGAACTTAATCCAAGGAAGACTCAACAAATAGACTTTGAATGCAGTCTAAAAATATTCTTTGATCTTTTGTTCATATGGCTACAAGCCTAGCAAAAAGGCTTTTTTTTTTTTTTTTTTTTTTTTTTACCTACTGGACACTAAATAAATTGAGGACAGTCAAGTTAATAAAGCAAATTTTCTGAGCATTATAGATGACAGATCTGAACTAGCACTGTCTAACAAAAACATAATGTGAGCCACTAAAGCAGGCCAAATACAGAATTTAAAATTTTCTAGTAACCACATTAAAACAAGTAAAAAGAGACAGGTAAAATTAATTTTAATGTATTTTATTTAACCTAGTATATTAATAAGGTACTTTACTTTTTTTTCTAAGTCTTTGAAATCTGATGTGATTTTTGTATTTATAGTATACCTCAACGCAGACCAGCCCCATTTCAAGTGCTCCATATCTACCTGAGGCTGGTACTTACTGTACTAGACAGCGAAGCTTCAGACATTTCAAAGACTTCCAAGATACCAAAATGCAGTTTTTCTTTTTCTTAATGTTTATTTATTTTTGAGAGACAGAGAATGAGCATGAGGGGAGAGAGGCAGAGAGAAGGAGACCGAGGATCAAAGCAGGCTCTGCACTCACAGCTTTGGTGGGGCTCGAATTCATGAACTGTGAGATCATGACCTGAGCCAAAATCAAGAGTCGGCCACTTAAACAAATGAGCTACCCAGGCACCCCTAAAATGCAGTTTTTCTAATTACTCTACAATTCTAACATTCAGGATTCTATATCTGAGTCTAAAAGAAAGAAAAAATAAACAATAGATAGTAAAAGAAAACATTTTTTTAAATCAAAACCTCCAATGAAAGAAGTATCAAGGGCTAATGGTGTTACTAAACACTAAAAAATTCTACTAAAACCTTCTATCATTTTTTATGGTCACACATAAGGAATAATTAGATTTGCCTCACTCTTTCCCAAACAGCAAGAAAATTCATTCCAGAATGTGATTTCCCAGTTGCTTAAACAATTATGTATTGTCATAAACAGTAAAATAAAACCATCTTACCTAAGCCATATAAAGCAATTTTGGAGCTTCCTTTTTGGAGCAAAACTGGACTAATGTCTATCTTCTCCACAGACACTGAACGTCCAAAGTGATTTACAAATCCAGCACAGCTTAGTATGTCCAGGGCACACAGGGCATCTGCCTACGTAGAATGTTTTCAAAGAATATTAATGTATATATCTAAAAATAAGTAATCTCCATCATATTACCTATTAAAAGTATATTCCATATACGACTTACTAAAACATAGATCAGGACAGTGTCTTCTCAAAATAAAATTACAATAGTGAAAGTATTTGCTATGTTTCTTCAATTACAAATGACCTACTGCACCTGGAACCACATGCTAAATGCCACGTTAACATTTCATCAAAACTTAGGATGTCCCGGCCACCAAAAAATAAAAACCAGCCATGAAATGAGTGCTTTGTAATATTAAGCTGACCTCTTAAGCCATGGGGGGAAGAAAACTAGGTAAGTAGTGATTTATGGTGTTCATGATCAGATAAAACAAAAAGATATTTCAAGTGTAGGACCTCTGTAAGGTCCTTCCATATCAAACAGGTAATAAGACGATCTAATTTAGATTTAGAACTGTCCATGAAAAATCGTTTTCTACAGGTGAAATTTTGAAATGAGAGACACAAAAGCACCAGGTAAACTGTAAAGCTTCATACAAATGTTAGGTATTTATCCTTACTTCGAGTTACTTATTGTCAACCTCAGCACTAATGAAATAAAAGCACACCTCACACACCAACTATTATTACAGATTTTTAAAAATTATCTAAAAAGCAATATAAAAGACTATGTGAATGATACAAAGTCAACTTGACTGTCTGAGCCAACTGACGAAAAATTTCTGGAAAGGACAAGAATGCCTTCCACAAACTAAAGTGACAACAAACTGTAAGAACCCAGTAAGTACCCCTGTGGGATCATCATGATTGCCATGAATACTGAACACTGGAATCGAAATGTTGAGATTGTCATCTTGGTAGTTCACCCACGGAAACCTTAAAAAAACGACAACAAAAACACAAAGTTAATGTTTCCATAAAAGACAAAAGCTATTTTCCACAATACCCTCCTTTAAAAAATTAATACAATTTATGGGCAAACTGGATAAGTTGGCAGAAGACCACTAGTTTGGAGCTTTAAAGAAATACAATGACAGGCAACAATTCATTCCAAGTTTGAAGTGCTTCAAAGTACTATACTTTAAAGAAAACACTGTAGTATATGGTGCTTGTGAATTGTACGAAAGAGAAGGATATCTGACTAACGGCAAGTAAAGAGGCTTTCAAATTTTTAAAGGCCTTTGTATAAGAAGAGAGAGGGGAGGAAACACATCCATTTTGGAATCCAAGATTCTAAATTCCAGCTCTATCACTTACTACTTGTGCAATTTAAGTCTCCCACCCACGGGGCTCCTGGATGGCTCGGCTGGTTGAATGTCTGACTCTTGGTTTTGGCTCAGGTCATGATCTGTTTGTGATTTTGAGCCCGCATCAGGCTCTGCTCTGACAGTGTGGAGCCCATTTGTGATTTTCTCTCTCTCTCTCTGCCCCTCCCCTGCTCTCAAAAAACAAAAACCAAAAACAAAAAAAGTGTCCCACCCACTCCTGCCCCTGGAGTCAGCCAGCTCCTCCTCTCAGAGGCAGATGCCATTAGAAACTTCATAGTGTATCTCTGCAAAAATATCTTATACCTTCATAGCAAATAAATGGCATCTTCTCCTTTCTTATACAAATAGTAGTATAATACAGATTTCTGCACCCTGCTTTTTCATTTAATGTTTTAGAAATCATTCTACATCAGTACATAAAGAGCTTCCTTGTGCATTCTCTGGTGGGACAGTACACCATCGAATGGGCTATCAGAATGTGTTTAAGTAGTTACCTACCAATGGACATTTAGACCATTTCCAGTGTTTTTGCTTTACAAATAATGCCACAGTGAGTACTCTTGTACCAAGTTGCCCTTGTGCAAATATAAGAAAATATCCAGAAGGGCATTTAGTTAAAGGACAAGAATATATATGGGGCGCCTGGGTGGCTCAGTCGGTTGAGCGTCCGACTTCAGCTCAGGTCACGATCTCACGGTTCATGAGTTTGAGCCCCGCGTCAGGCTCTGGGCTGATGGCTCAGAGCCTGGAGCCTGCTTCCGATTCTGTGTCTCCCTCTCTCTCTGCCCCTCCCCCATTCATGCTCTGTCTCTCTCTGTCTCAAAAATAAATAAACATTAAAAAAAAAATTGAAAAAAAAAGGACAAGAATGAATTTGTAAATTTGGAAATACTTCCAATTTCTGTCTATAGAAGTTGGACAAATTTACACACAATACAACAGCAATGCATGAGAGACAACTTTTCCCTTTATTCCATCAACATAAGCTATCAAGCTTTTAAATCTATGCCAGCAGTTGGGGTGCCTGGGTGGCTCAGTCGGTTGTGTCCGACTTTGGCTCAGGTCATGATCTTGCGGCTCATGGGTATGAGCCCGCATCGGGCTCTGTGAGGAGACTGAGAGCCTGGAGCCTGGCTTCGGATTTTGTCTCCCTCTCTCTCTGCCCCCGCCCCCCTTCTCATGCTGCTCACTCTCTCTCTCTCTCTCAAAAATTAAAATAAACTTAAAAAGAAAATAAACCTATGCCAAGGGTTCTAAACCCTAGCGGTATGTTAGAATTATCTAGGAATCTTTTAAGATCTATCAATGCCCATGACACAGAGAGTAACTGGCCTACAGATTGTCATCATTTTTTTTTTTTTTGAAAGATTTCTAGGTAACTACAATGTGCCCCTGGAATTGAGAATCACTGATCTATGCCAATCTGACAAGAGAAAAATATCTCAGTAGAGCTTAACTTAGTATCTTTCTTATGGACTCCATTTTGTATTTTTCATATTCTTTTAATATGTCCAAGTGTCACTTTTTCTGTGAACTATGTATTTTTCACATATGTTTTTATTAACTCTTGGATTTTTTAATGGGCTCAAAAGAACTATTTATCTATTGGGGAAATTAGACCTTAATTTGCAATCCATTGCAAATATTCTCCCTACCTTAACTCTCACTGACTTTTGACTCTGTTCTAGGCGGTATTTGCCCTGCAGAAATTTACTTTTACAAAGACTAACATCAATTTTACTTTTATGGCTTCTCAGCTTGTATCATACACAGAAAAGCCTTTCCCATATCTACATTTTTAAAAAATGTCTAATAGTTTCTTCTAGTACACTTATTGAATAATCCATACTTTCCCTAGAGATATGACACCACCTTCTCCAAATATTAAATTCCTACATGTACGGAGTCTATTTCTGGATCTCTTTACTCTTTCACTTACCTGCTTACCAATTCATAAGTCATATTACATTTTTAGTTATTGAGGCATTATATTTTTTCTAACTTTATTATGAAATAATTGACATAGAGCATTGTAGAACTTTAAGCTATACAATGTATTATTTGAACACATATATTGCAAAATAACTGCTACAACTTGGCTAACACTTGCATCACACCCATTTTTTTTGTGTGTGTGACAAGATTATTTGAAATGTACTCACAGAAACTTTCAAGTATAAAATAAAATATTACCAACTATAAGCACTATGCTGTAAATCAGATCCTTAGAACTTACTCATCTTGTAACTACAACTTAATACTCTGATCAACATCTACCCTTCCCTCAAGTCCTGGACCTGGATAACTACCATTTTACACTGTTCCCAAGTTCAGTTTTGTTAGATTTTACATGCTAAGTGATGTTACACAGTATTTTTCTTTGTCTGACTTATTTAATAGCGTAATGCCCTCAAGCTCCATCCATGCTGCAAATGGCAAGATGTTCTTTTTCATGGTTGAATAGTATTTCATATTCATATTACACACCACATCATCTTAATCCATCTTTACCCATTCATCCACGGAGAGGCACTTAGGTTGTTTCTGTATCTTGGCTGTTGTGAATAACGCTACAACGAACTCGGGAATGCAGATTACCTCTCTGAGAGCCTGTTCTTCATTTCGTTTCGATGCATATCCAGAAGGATTGCTTAATCGTATGGTAGTTCTATTTTTTTTTTTTAACTTTTTGAGGCTCCTCTATACTGCTTTCTATAGTGGCTAAGTCAGTTTACATTCCCACCAGCAGTGTATACAAGGGTTCCCTTTTCTCCACATCCTCCTCAGCATTTGTTCTTATTTTTTTGTTCTTATTTTTTGATGATAGCCATGTGTGAGGTGATATCTCATTGTGGTTTTAATTTGCATTTCCCTGATGACTAGTGACTTTGAGCACCTTTTCATATACCTGTTGGGTCATTTGTATGTCTTCAGAAAAATGTCTTTGGTTTCTTTGCTTATTTTTAATTGGATTGGATTTTTGGTCTTCTTTTGTTTTTGTTTTTGTGATTGAGTTATAGTTCTTTACATATTTTAGATGTTAACATCTCATCAGATTTATGACTTAGAAATATTTTCTCCCATCCCGCAGGTTCCCTTTTTATTCTGTTGATGGTTGCCTTCACTATGCAGCAGCTTTTTAATTTGACATAGTTCCACTTGTTTATTTTTCCTTTTGTTTCCAAATCCAAAAAAAAAAAAAAAAAAAATCACTGCCAAGAATGATGTCAAGGAGCTTACTCCCCACGCTTTCTTCTAGAAGTTATACAATTTCAGGTCTCACATTCAAGTCTTTAATCCATTTTGAGTTGATTTTTGTGTATGGTATAAAGGGGACAGCTTCATTCTTTCGTATGTGGCTGTCCAGTTTTCCCAGTACCATTTATTGAAGAGACTCTTCTTTCCCCCATTGTATATTCTTGGCTCCTTTGTCATAAATTAATTGACCAAACATGCATGGGTTTATTTCTGTACTCTCTATTCTGTTCTACTAACCTAGATGTCTTATTTTTATGCCCAAACCACATTGTTTTCATTACTACAGTTTTGTAACATAGTTTGAAATCAGCAAGGGTGATGCTTCCACCTTTGTCTTTCTTCTTAAGACTGCTTTGGATATTTTGGGTCTTGTGGTTCCATACAAATTTTAGGATTGTTTTTTCTATTTCTATGAAAAAAAAAAACGTTAGAATTTTGGTAGGAGTTACACTGAATCTATAGATCACTTTGGGTAATAGGGACAGCTTAACAATATTCATTCTTCTTATCCACCAGCACAGAATATCTCTCCATTTTTTGTGTCTTGAGTTTCCTTCACCAATGTCTTATAGTTCAGTGTATAGCTCTTCTGCCTCCTTGATTAAATTTATTCCTAAGTATTTTACTCTTTTTCTTTTCCTATTCTTCTTTTCTTAGTTTCTCTGATAGCTTATTGTTAGTATATAGAAATGCAATTGATTTCTGTCTCCCGATTTTGTACCCTGGGCCTTTATTGAATTCATTTATTAGTTCTAATAGTTTTTTGGGGGAGTCTTTCACATTTTCTACATATAACATTATCATCTGCAATTAGAGACAACTTCACTTCCTTCTTTCTGATTTGGATATCTTTTATTTCTTTTTCTTGCCCAGCTGCTCAAGCTAAGACTTCTAATATGATGTTGAATAGGAATGGTGAGAGTGGGAATCTTTGCCTTATTCCGAATCTTACAAGAAAAGTTTTCAGCTTTTCACCACTGGGTATGATGTTAGCTGTGGGTTGGGTCATATACGGCTTTTATTACATTGAGGTATGTTCCCTCTATGCCCACTTTGTTGGGGGAGTTTTTAATCATAAAAGGATGCTAAATTTTGTCAAATGCTTTTTCTGCATCTATTCAGATGATAATATAATTTTCATCCCTCATTTTGTTAATGTGGCTTAATATACTTTAATATGTAATAGGGCTAGTCATTATTTAGCGGTTTTCTCTTTCAGACTTTTCCTACCTTTTCGTCTATTTTTCTATGTGAACTAGTAAACTAGAAGGGGAAATTATTCAGAATGCAGCACAAAGAGATAAAGTAATGCGCAATATAACAAAAACAGTAAAAGATATAAATAATATTCAGAAAGAGAAAGAATAGGCAACAATGTTTGAAAATGTAATGGTTAAGAACTTCCTAAAATTACTGAAAAAAATAATTCTTAGATTGAAATGCATGAGGATACCCAAGCAGAACAATTAAAACTAAATCCACAACTAAATATGTCCTAGTAAGACTGTGAAATGCTAAGGACAATGAGAAAATTTAATAGTTACCTGAGAATTTTCTTTCTGCCAGTTGCTATTCTAAGCAATTTTCTTATTAACTCCACTACTCCTCACAACAACTCTGTAAGATCATCACTATATAAAAGTAAGGTAAAGTAGAGCCAAGACATGAATTCACATGGTCTGGTACCAGAATCCACGCTTTTAATCACTATATTACACTGTTTTTCCAGCAACTACAGTGACAGCAGACTTCTCAACAGCAACCAAAAAATAAGAGTTTACTACTCACTGACACTCAATGAAAAAACTACTGAAAACAGTACTTTAGAAAGAAGAAAATGGAATCCATAGGGAAAAAATGAAATGCAAGAAGCAACAACAGTGAGCAAAGAAACAGGTAAAGAGGTCTGCAAAGGTGAGGGGAGCAGTTTAAAAATAAGATGAGAGAAAGAAGAAAACGCTAACGTTCTGGATCTGAATAGGAGACAGGTAAAGATACTGAACAGATTTCTTAAAAACAACGACATATGTTGTTAAAAACCATAGGTACTTTTAAAATCCAATTCTACACTCTGCCAAACTATCAACCCAGAGCAAAGTTAAATACAGCCATTTTCTCACATACAAAAATCTCTAAAAATTTACCTCCCAACATGAACTCATTTGAAAAAATTATAGATAGTTAGGGGTGCCTGGGTGGCTCAGTCGGTTGAGCGTCCAACTTCGGCTCAGGTCATGATTTCAGACTCGTAAGTTCAAGCCCCGTGTCGGGTTCCGCGCTGATAACTCAGAGCCTGGAGCCTTCTTCGGATTCTGTTTCCCTCTCTCTCTGCCCCTCCCCCACTTGCTTTTGCGGGCGCGCGCGCGCGCACACACACACTCTCTCAAAATAAACAAACATGATAAAAAGAGAAAGAAAAAATACAGATAGTTAAATAGATAAAAAACAAACCCAGATAGGTCCATTTTAATAGATTAGTATACATGCATCTGTTTCTTAGCTCTGGGCACTGAGAGACCCTAGAAGCAGTGACAAGGTGACAGCAATGTGCAAGCCTAGCATCTAGGTTTGGGCTTTCAAATACCTTTTCCAAAGGAACCAGGACTCCTTGAAGAAATGGATGAGTCTAAAGCTAGGGAAGGGAAAATAATTCATCTGGAGCATCTTCTAATGCCAAAAAATAGGAAATGGAGGGGAAAATGAGGGTAAGTCAAAAGGAGAGAGGAGCCAATCTGAAAAAGTACCCAATGGCTAACCTTCGTACAAATCATCTGAGCAACAAAACAGATTACAATTGCATTAAATTACAACACAAAGGGAAAAAATGAGTTCATACTGATACAGACAATTGAAGAAGTTCCTTCTGATAGCTGAGTCAATAAATTAACAAGTGGGGGACAAGGGACAAATCTTCCTTACAGAAGAATTTTAATTAATAAATGCAGAAAAATGTGGGAAATGGAAAATCAGCATTAGAACACCACGGTTAAAATTGCTATAGGCAAGAGCCACTGACGAATGTTAAAATTAGTGGACAAACTTTAAGGCGACACAGAATAAATAGGTACACAGCCTCAAATATCTCCCCCAAAATACTTACTAATGACTACAGTAGTTTTAATATGCCCATCTCCTTTGATACTCTTTTCTCTCTACAGGAAGTGACACTTAAATCCCTCTGAGTGTGGGCTAGACTTAGCAACTCACTTCTAATGAAGAGTGGATGAAAAGGGAAAAATCCTAACTTGACAGCAGAGAAACCTGGCAGGCACCACCTTAACCAAGAGATTAAGGTTATCCTCACCAGTAATTAGCCAACTTGATAGCATGTACTCCAGATATGCTATGAGAGAGCACTTCACCTCTGTGGAATATTCTTTCCTGAAAACCCTTAATCCTGGTCTAATCACAAGAAAAACCCAAATTGAGGGACAATCTACAAAATGACTGACCAGTATACTTCAGAAGTACCATGGAAATGAAAGGTAAGAAAAGACGGAAAAGCTGGCACAGTGTGAGGAAACTGAGAGAACATTTCAACTACATGTAGTACGGTATCCTGTGCAATGCTTAAGAAAAACCACGAGACTATCTTTACAACATGGGGTTCTAGGTGACTATCATCAGTCAGTCCCCAAAGTATGAATATTAAGGAAAAAGAATGATACTACATCGAAATTAAGTACTGTATTTGTCAACAAAAGTCTCGATAAAAAAAGTCAAAAGACAATTCACGGATTGGATAGAAAAAAATTCATGCTTAACAAAGGCTTAGCCTCTAGAATATATGAATAACTTCTGCAAATTGAATAGGAAAAGACAAAAATCCCAATTTTTAAAATGGGCAAAGGGTATGCACAGAGCAGGATACCAAAATGTACAACAGAAATTTAAGAAAATTCTCAGTCCCACTATTAATTAATTAATTAATTCTCAGACATACAAATTAACACAATGACATACAGAAAATTCAAAGAATTACACTTACTATGAAAATAGCTCATAGTGAAGGTCAAATAGCTAATTGTTAATGTGTTTGTCTTTCACAGAAAATATTACACAGAAGAAAACATTCACTTAAGCATTTAAATATACTTACTTACTAAAACCAAAGTTGACTGACTGATCACTGAGAATTTCAAACTGTACAGGACGATCACCCATGCAATATTTTCTCAGTAACTCGAGGCAGGTATGTAATGTTTTTCTTGAGGGCTTATTTTCATGAAAAAGATCACCACCTAACAAAATAAAATCCACCTAATCAACAGAAAATAGTGTGAAAATTAGTATGTTTTATAGGGGAAAATGTTAAAACTATAGATTAAAGAAGTAGAAAAAAATCTCATAAAAGATACTGATGTGTATGGAGATTCAAAATTTTATATTTTATTTATTTAAAGAGCTTGCAGTCTGTTGATTACTTTGACTCCAACTTAGGTTCCTAGGCCACCTTCAAAAAAACCATCTTTGGGGTGCCTGGGTAGCTCAGTTGGTCATCCAACTCTTGATCTTGGCTCAGGTCATGATCTCACAGTTTCTGAGACTGAACTCCACGTGGAGCTCTGCACTGACAGCATGGAACCTGCTTGGGATTCTCACTCTCCCTCTCTCTCTGCCCCTCCCCCCCCCACATGCACATGGGCTCTATCAAAGTAAACAAACATTTAAAAAAAAAAAAAAAAAGCCATCTTCAAATTATTACACCAAACCTCTGACTCATGCTACCCAGAGTAATCACTATCTTTTGTTATTCAAATTAAACATAAATTTAGAACTTTAATGGAACCTACGGACAAGACAGCCACTTCAATTTAGATTACTCATTCAATTCATTCAACAATTATTTAGGGCTCACACAGGCACTGCCACCTAAGGAAACTGGAATCTACAGAACAGATGATGTCCAGGACTGACAATGTACAATTCCCTGTACTGGGCCCTGAGGATACAATGACGAATAAAATACAATTCCTTTCCTAAATATGTTCAGAATCTAGTGGAAGAGACAAACTGCTATGCATCTGAACGTAAGTCAGACTCAGACATGCACTAGAAGGAGTATGTAAACAAACCAGGAGCAGCAATGACACTACAGTTAATTCTAACTGAAGGGAAGAAGTCATCTGAGGACAATGCGTGCAGAAGGAAATGTGCCAAGGGGCCCCTAGGTGGTTCAGTCAGTTAAGTGTCCGACTTCAGCTCAGGTCATGATCTCATGGTCTGCGGGTTCGAGCCCCACAATGGGCTCTATGCTGACAGCTCGGAGCCTAGAGCCTGCTTCAGATTCTGTGTCTCTCTGCCCTTCCCCTGCTTATGCTTCTGTCTCTCTCTCTCTCTCTCAAAAGTAAAAAAAAAACATTTAAAATTTTTTTTTAAAAAGTGCCAACATGGTACCATTTAGATTACCCTATTAAGAATAAATGAGACTTTAAGGAAGAGCATTCTAGAAACAAGAGAATAAAGAAATTATACAGAAAAAAGCCCAACGTGCATGCTTTCAAGAAGTATATAATCTACCTAAAGAAACTTGATTAAGTTCTTAATTATACAAAAGAACCCAGATCACTTAGGCTACAGTAGTGAGGGGGAGAATACACCACTCCCGAAAGTGTCACTTTGGCACATGGACTGGAGCTAAAGGCAATTAAGACTTAGTAGACTCAGGAATAGCTTTTTTTAAACTTCCCCTAACTACCTCAAAGAACTGACTGGGGGCCTATACCAGGAAGAGAGCTATTATCAGAGAGAACTTTTTATATCAGAAAGACTTCTCTCTCTCTCTCTTTTTTTAATTTTAGAGAGAGAGAGAGCCTGGGCGGTGGGGAGGGGCCGAGGGACAGAGAGACAATCTTAAGCAGGCTCCATGCTCAGTGCAGAGCCTGACGCGCGGGGCTGGACGTCACTGTGAGATCATGACCTGGGCCAAAATCCAGAGCCAGATGCTTAACAGACTGGGCCACGCAGGCACCCACACACAAGACTCCTCTACGTGGCATGACCAACATTTGCTCTTCCCATCTTCCCATGAATCATCTCCCTCCCTTGAAACCCCAGACCTCTACCTCCTTTCTCTTTAGCTCAGGATGGTATATAAGGCTCGATTACCTGACTGCTGGGGAGTCTCGTATTTTTATGAGACTCCTATACATACAAAATTTGGTTTTCTCCTGTTAATGTGTCTTAGGTCAATTTAATTATTAGCCCGGCCAAAGAATCTAAAAGGAAAGAAGGGAAAAGTTTTCCATCTTAGAGTAGTCAGAGGAGCTTCAATAAAAATGTGGGACTTAAGCTAGGTCTTCAAAAATGAACACGATTTGAATAAAGGAAGAAAATCATCACAATCAACAGCATAGAGAAAAACAAAAGGAACACAGAAAACATTTCAGGCAGGAGGTGGAGTGGTTGTTTAAATGGTACAGTTTCACTTCTGCAAGAGGAAGAGTTCTGGAGATTGGTTACACAGCAACGTCAATGTGCCTAATGCTGTTAAAGTCTACACTTAAAGACACTGAAGATGGTAAATTTTGTTAGGTGTATTTTACCACAAATGAAAAAAAAATTTTTAATATTTTTAAAAGCTGGTGACTCCAGGCAACACTGAAAAAGGACACACCTTGTTTCTATGGTCTTCCTGCCACAAAGTGAATCCAGTCATGAGGCAATATCAGACGAATCCAACTGAGGAACATTCTACAAAGTAACTAGCCTGTACTTTTCAAAATGTCTGGGTCATGAAAGACACAGGCTGACTGAGGAAATGTACCAGATTACAAGAAACTAAGGAGACATGACAACTAAATGCAAAACTTAACCTTGGGTAGGACCTGGACTCTGCCACCCTGCCCCCAGATTGCTGTAACAGACATTACTGAGACAATCAGCAACATCTTGAAGTTATCTAAGTATCGAATCGGTATTAATTTCCTGGTTTTGATAAGTGCACTGTGGTTACATATGCAATGACTCTCAAATGGTTCAGAAAAAGTGTGTGCGCATGTGTGTGTGTGTGTGTAAAGAGACAGAATAAAGCAAATGGGGTAAGATGTAGGAAATTATGAGTGAAAGGTAAGGAATTCTTTGTATTATGCTTGCAATATTTCTGAGACTGATACTGTTAGAAGTTTAAAAAAAAAAAAAGGGGGGCTCCAAGGAATTAAGGAGTAGAAATAAGGCAAATTTGATGGCACAGACACACAAAGTAGGGTACTTAAAGTTAGGAAAAATTTAGATTTCAATAGTAAATACTT